AGGAACCTCTTTACCCTCTATAATATCAATCTTATAGTCTGTCTCTTTAAATATAGGCAATGTCGATGCTAAGTAGTGTTTAAACACATTAATATAGGTCTCTCGGATAGGCTCTAGTATACGAGCAAGCTAATTAGGATTATTAGGGGGCACAGGTTCGTCGTTATTACTACCGAGTAGGTCGGCAGTCGGATCGGCTAAGGCGGAGGCTAGTATTAGGTTGCTAATAAATAGGACCCTAATATCGTTAGGGCACTCGCTAATATTAATATGTTTAATGTCCTCTTTCCTAGCGATTCTAAATCGCTACTTCTAGAGGCCTAGGTCTATAGCTATAGCGTAGTACTTAAGAACAGGGTTGCTAATAACAATATCGGATAAGAGGCTGTCTATATCTACTGCGTAGGCAGTAAAGCCTAGTAGGCGCTCATTTCCGAGGTCGTCCTTTAGAGCTATAGGAACATAGTAGGCCCTATAGGTTAAGTGCCGAGCGTTATTAAACTAAGCAAGGGTTAGTAGGTTAGTCTTCGGCAGTTGTCGAAGGTCTAATTGCTTAGCTAGGCGATAGCTAATAAGGGCACTAACTGAATTTCCTAGATCTAGTATAACCTTAGTTTGATAGGTAGTGCCCTTCGTATCCTATACAAGGTAGGAGCGTATTATAGCTAGCACAATATCGATAGTCTTACGCCGTATAAGGCTAATAGTTAGTGCGGCGCTTACTCTTTTTTCGACTAATTAAAGGAGCCGACTAGGGTAGTATTAGCGGCTAAAAGGTATTTCTTATACTTAGCGGAAGCACGGTTAATTCGGGCCTAGTCCTTAGGTTTATCGCATTAGCCTAGTAGATAGCTAGTGCTATTACAATTGAAGCACTTCAATCCGGTTAGTAGACTACCGTAGCTGCTATTATTGTTAGTAGAGCGGTTAGCATTGTAGGGATACGAGCCCCTTCTACGGCCCCTATCGCGGCCTCCTCTATATAGCCGGCGGCTACGGCCTCTTCTACGGTCGTTGTTACTATTCCTATTGTTAGCACTGTTGTCTTAGTAGGAACCTTAATTTCCTCCGCGGCTACTACGGTTGCTACGGTTAGTACTAGTTAGTCGGATCCTCGATTCTAGTCTTTATTAGAGTTAAACAGCTCGTTTAGCTGTTTCTACCTCGACTATAAATTAAATACATGTTAGGTTAGCCTATTCAAACATACGGCGGCGGTCTAATTCGAGAATAAGCTCCTACCTAAGCTTAGGGCGTATTTTAGAGATCTATATAGAATTAGTCTTAGCCGGGAGGTTATCCTCGAGGGTCTTTAAATAGGCCTCGAATAAGCGAGCCGATTAATTAGTCTTCTATTTAGCTCGAAGATATAGGTCCTAAGCATATTGTTGCCTTAGTATAGGGTTTCTAAGGGTGTCTAGCATAATAGTCTTGTAGTCTTGCTACTAAATAGCGGTCTAATTAGTAAGGGAGTCGAAATGGTTATCCTAGGTGCGCTTTAGGTCGCTATTAATGTACTACATCGCGTAGACAACTAGTGAATAGTTATCTAGAAGAGCCCTCGGCGCATTTCGTTAGTTAAGCTTACAATCGCGTATATAATTATTGTATTATTTGCGACTAGAGCCTTTAAATACGGTATAGTCCTTAAGCTTAGCATCCTTCTTTTAGATAGGGACGGGTAGTAAGGAAGGCCCTACTATCGGCTTAGTATTAGTTATTAGGGCTTCCTATAGACGGCGAATCTCGAGGAGATTATCCTTTAGCTATTGTTCTTAACGTAGGGTAGTAAGCCTGTTTTAAGTGGCTTCTTAAAGTCTCTCTACTAGTTAAGGGCTAAAGGCCGGCTAGCTATATCGTCGATTAATAATGTTGTTAAGAATGTCGTTAATAGGTAATTCTAGATTATTACCTAGAATTATAGGTTCTTCTTTAATAGGTCCTATAGTAGGCTCTTCGGTAGGAGGCACTTTAGTAGGCACTTTAGCGGGAACTATACTACTAGCGTTGTTATTGCTAGCGCTGCTAGCGGCAGCACGGTTGTTGTTTCGTAATAAGCCGGCTATTATAATAGGGGGTAACACTAATAATGTATTGTTAGCCCCTAAGATGCGGATATAGCGGAATTAGTAGATATTAGTCTAGTGCGATTGACTTAGTGTAATAGGCCGTATAGAAGGCCTTGCTTAATAATTGGTACGGTTGTTTCGATAGAATAGTACGTATAGGTCCCGTTCTTCGGGCGTAATATAGTTAGATTAGTCTTGTTCGTAGCTATACCGCTAAAAGCTTGAAATAAGAACTATCTAGCTGCTGCCCTTAAAGGATAGATCGAATACTATATAAGAAGGGTATATTAGCAGGTAGATAGGGTAGTAGTAGGTACGAGTAGTATTCGATAAGGAGCTAGGAGGAGAGAGAGGAAGGTAGGCAAGTTAGCCTATTACTAAGCGCTAAGCCCTGCCTAAGGCATTAAGACCCTAGCTTTACTCGAGCCCGGTTATATACTAATTACGTATAACCTCTTTAGTCCTAATAAGTGAATCGTACTAAGCGGGTAGAATTCGGTTTTAGAGGCCTATAGCGGATATAGTCCTAGCTACTACGCAATCGACTTAACCCGAGGGTCCTTAACTACGGTTGCGAGCTTATTTTCGAAGATGCTTATAATCGCCGCGTATATATAATACATCGACAATTTCCGAGACTATTCGTCTTCTCTAAGCGTAGGGGTATTATAGATATCCGTAGCGTCTAGTCGCGTATCCGCCTTAAAATCGTTAATACGTAGGCTAGTATCGGGATAGCGAATATACGGAGTAAAGCGCACTAGTAGCGCCGTAGTAAGATTGCGCATAACCGACTAATTAGATATAGTCTAATCCCGAACCGTATCCTAGAAATTAATATTATCGTATACTACGTACTATATAATATTATACGCTAACCGGACGAGCCTTTCCTATATAGAATAAGCACGAGTTAACTATAATGCGATTAAATAACTACCTTCTGCTCGCTCCTAGAAAGCTTCTCCTTACGGTATAGTGCTATATACGTAGCGATTAAACCAATCCCCGATAGGACATTTAATACCCTCCGCTTTACGCTATTTAATAGGAGGTACCGACCGAATGCCTTTGTAAACTAATTAGATTTGTTCCGAGAGCGAGTATAGAGGATAAAGGTAGTAAGGGTAAATATTCGTATATCGAGATTATCCGGCTCTTTATTACGCTACCTAACTAATACGCTGCGGGCAAATTAATGCTACGCTAGAGCAATATCCTAGATAACCTTATATGTATCCTTAAACTACTAGACGGAGAATTAATTATCGAATCTATTAATAGGTTCGAGTAGCGTAGCGGCCTAGTCGCCCGCTACGGCCTCGGATACCTCCGTAGCGGATCGAAGAGTCCTCTACTATTTCCTATATAAGCTCTTTCTAATTAGGTAATCGAGTTTACGAATAATATTACTATTCTTACTACTAGACAACTCAACCTACTTCGATTTGCGTAGCTCCGCATTTAATATAATAGAGAGCTAGCCGACGCGATACGTATAGGACTTACTCTATAGTTTACTAGCCTAGTACTATACGACCTTCCCTATAGTAAGGTTGTTTTCCTATATCTTGCGTATTACTTCTTTATAGCGCTGTCTTTTATCGCGACGAGCGCGGGGCTAGCGAGTTACGTAGCGAGTCGACTCGTTATCGCTACTACTAACGCTACTACTATCTATAATACTATCTACTTCTAGTTATAGGCGATCCGCTAGGTCCTCCTCTTCGGTAGACCCGTTACCCGGATACTTATAAGATAGAACACTAGAAAGATCGGAGGAGGTAGATAGACTAGAAGGAGAGCGACTAGATATATATCTATCTATAGCGGAGGATAGAGATAGTCCTACGGAAGTAGACTAGAAAGCCGCGGAGGGTATAGTCGTAATAGAAATACGCGACAATATAGTCGTATCTACCTAGCGTATATCGCGACGCGGGCGCTACGACGACGACGATATATTTATATCCGATTTCGTACCTAGGAAACTTCGGAAAAAAGATAGTAATACGGAGAGAGGTATTCCCGCTACGAGAGAAATTTGTACTATAGGAAATAGTCGTTCTAGTATTAAAACTAGGGTTTTGCGATTCTCCTATATAAATGTTTAATATAGGAAGTCGAAATCCCGATAGAAACGGCCTAGACGAGAATAGCGATTCCTATATTCCCTACCCTAATTAGTAGAAAAATTTGCTTAGCTCCGTATAGTTTTTATCTAAGCCCGCTACGGAGTAGTCTACATACGGGACGCGGACCGCTATATCCCGTAAAGGCAAATTGTCTAATAATAAAACGCAGGTAAGAATATAAAGGTAGGAATCGCTAACATTCTCGTCTGGTCTCGAGATAGTCAACATCGTAGCATTCATTGCTAGCATTTCCTACTACAATACAACAACCTCCATGATTCCGAGTGATGAAGTTGGACCGGTCCTATTAGCACATAGGGGCATATTGTTGATCGAGCGACTATAGCAGACCCTTACGATGCGCCGACTAAATAACATTCCAGCCCAGACAGCGACGCGCTGAATGCGTGTACTCAAGAAATGCACCAGAAGACCGCCGCTGTCTTGTGCCCTCCATCATTGCGTCCGGAACATAGCATGAACAAGATTGAGACCACTGCCAATGTTTAGGAGAGATAGACACATATGCCTCAGGATATGCTGCATTTACCTCCGATGCAAGACAGTTCGGCGCTCAGTGCGTACGAGTATATTTCCATGCGGTTGGCCAAGCACACACAGCTGCAGGAGTGGGGACGGATACCCGCGAGCGGCTCCTACAGGACTGCACTACCGTCGAACCACATCAACATCCTGTGAGGAGTTGGGCATGCACGAACGCAGAAATTTCTAGCAGCCTTTCGCTATGAAAAAGCGCATCAGCTCGCCCACACTGATTCTTTGACTCTCAGCTGCAATGGGCTTTCCTTGTGGAGAGATCCTATCGAGACGTGAGTTACGCCCTTCGACGAAGCACTCCAAGTGTTCTCGCTACAGCCATTCTCTCTGCGACTTCCTGGAAAGACATGCCTCCATAACGCTTGGACACTCCTGGCCACATCCTCGATCGGGTAATGCGTGCGAGAAGTGTGGTTCAGATACCTCTTGTTCTTGCCTTACCAGTCGCGATTATACACTACACTCCTTTCAGCTTTGAGAACTGGCGCAAAATTCGGTCGCTTCCGGCATATTTCTGGGGAACCCTCAAAGACGGACGCCACTTTGTATCTTGTGATAGCTCGCCTATGCCTACCACTACGTCGGTAATTGTCGGCCTGATCCCAGTTCATGGGCCCAGACACTCATTCTCAGTGCCCGAAACGGAAGCATGGTCTGATACATCTGCCCAAAAGTCATGGAGTCGCGTGGTTGAAGGAGCTCGTGACGGCTCTCAATGAAGCCGAGAGTGTAAATGTGAATCAAGAGACTGATGAAAGGCACGCGGTGCCTTGAGCAATACGCGCTCAGTGTTCGCTAAACCTCCCAGTACGACAGCGGACCCATCGTTTCTCTGTGGCCTTCAGCACATTACACGGTCGTGGGGTCTACGAGATTCTTGTGCTACGCGTGCCGACGACTTCAGCAGTGACCTGCCGACCTCTCGATGTCTATCAAGGAGTTCTGTATGTCAATTCCGAGTACTGCGCGCATGCAAAGCTCTGCAACAATCAAATTATCTGGAGCGTGGACTCTGGGAGCAAGGGTTCGTCAGCCTTGAACAATTCAGGACTGGCAATGCCGCACTCACTTTTGGAGAAGGAAATACTTGTGCAGACGTCGGAAATGTCCACAATGTGTGCCCTTTCTTGGCCCGACAGTCAAGACGCAGAGTTCCCAGCGCGCTTCGAGGTGGGTCAAGGAGCAACACCAGCAGCCTTACGGGATCCCTGGCGACTGCTGTCAACAAGCACGTTTCCTCAATTGCTGGAACGGCAACGGTACACGAACCTAACGTTCGAGAAATTGGGATCAGAACTGGTTCTTCCATTCATCTTCTCTTCAATGCGCCTAAGCATAATCGGTGGCGACGGCTCGAGAATGACTGGCATGGTCAGACTCTTCGACCCGACGATGGTCAACGACGACGGAAGAAGGCACTTCATCCAGGGCACTGTTGCTGATGAGCTCGCTTCGCCTGAGGCAGTTCGTGAACACGTAGGAACACACACAGTTGGAAGCCAATCCAAAGCATCTGTGGACGATCTAACCTCTCCTCATATGGCACCAAAGCGACTTGCTTTCCAGCTAGTCACCGGTGCAGCCAATCCACTCCCCAGCAAACTTTCAGATGGCGCCGAAGAGCTTCCGACTCTACTCCTCGACAATGCTCAGCTGAACTTGGAATTGCAGCTGCTCTTATATATGGCAACGAAATACCCCATGAGCGACGACGACCTGAAAAACTTCAGCGATGGCATTAGACCAGTGGAAGGTAGTGAGAAGGGCAAGCTGCCCCCTGAGCTCGGCTCGATGCTTGATGGTGACCTGGCATCGTGGCTCAAAAATACTTACGTCCCAGGATTCATCGCTACTCGAATCATTGCCATGGATCCCAGCTCAAAAACAGCCTGGCGGGTCAATTTCAGCGACTCGGAAGTAGCAAATGTCAATCATTGGTTTAGTGGTAAAGGCAAAGGATGTCTCAGTCAGGCGCCGGAGTACACGCAACTGAACGAGCTGGCGGCAAGGTACGCGCTGCTTCAAGCGTTCCCCCGCGTCCAAGACTATCTCAACGACACCGAGCCAGATGAGAACGGTAGGCAAGGCGGAGAGAAGTGGGCATCGGCTCTATACCATTCACAAGGCCGAGGTTACGCTCTGGCAGCACTCGCGAATACGACTAACGTCAAGGTACGGTTCTCTACACTGACTTTGATTATAATCTCTAACAAATTTAGGCCAGGACCAAGGTTCAAGTGGTGTGTAATGGTAAATCATTCCCAGACCTGATGTTTTGAAATTCGTATTTCTCAACGCTCTATCGCTAGCGTATTCAGCATCAATCAAAAAGAGCTCAAGTCTCACGGGTCCATGCAACCCATCGGTGAGACGAAGTCTAGATTTTTGCGAGGTTTATAAAGCTAATCGATCCAGAACCTCTTGCCAAACGACGAAAAGCCCTATGCCATTAGAATTGTTGAAGCACTCAAAGCATACAAAGCTTCTGGTTTTAAGCAAGATACATCGGGCTTCAAGCTGACCCTGACTCCGAGCTTGAATATCAGTTTCTGCACGATGCTGTCCTTGGCTTGTGGGAACAGCTACTCGATAAGAAACCAGGATCGCTTGGGGTTAGCTTGGCTGGCCAATTGATGCAAGATGCCAATCAGTTAGTGGAGGACATGAATATCGATGCTACTAAAACGGCCGCGGAGAAAGCGTACGTTATGGAGAGACGGAGCGAAGAGACTGGCCGCTAATGGATCTGCAGAGCTGTGATGACCGCGCAAGCTTCCAACCTCATAGAACTAATTGCACAAGCACCGAAGAAAATCGGTGAAGCTACCAAAGGCATTGAAAAAGCTTTTGAGTCAGTACAGAACGCTCTGAACATGGTAAAGAACTCCAAGTTGATGAAGCTCATGGGTCCCGTCATGGCTGTTGCTACGGTAAGTCAGCTCGGGTAGAAACCCACGTACATTGCATTTATTGAGTCATTATAGGCAGCAATTTTCGCGTGGTCCGCATATGGCGCATACCGAGATTGGAGCAACCTTTCTATAGACGATCGAGCTATCCTCATCCTCTCGACCGTACAAACAACTTTGCAGAGGCTTGAGGATGGCGCCAAGGCATTCTCACCACTCTTCAAATCTCTTAGAAGAACTGGTCCAGAGGTCAGCATTGCTCCACGAGATACTATTGCTGGTTCAATTGAAGAGAACACTGAGCTTCGACTACCTGAGAACTCGGAAAAGGGACAAGTGGAGATCGAGCTTATCGATCATGCCGATGAGCTCCCCGGAGGTGTGGCAGACCAAGAAGCCGAAGCACAGCAAGTCGCCGATGATGTGTCGAACGTGGCAGAACTAGGCGCGGAAGACGCAGCAGAGGTGGCGATAGGAGCAGACGTTGAAGCTGCAGCGACCAAATTGGGCGCTTTATTCGCCATCGGTGGAAAGATCATCAAGGGCCTACTCGGGTGTGTAGGAGTTGCACTCACTATATTTAGTGCTCTCAGCCTGGCATAGAACTTTCACAGCATGGATTAGATGGAGCGACGTCTCAACATTACCAATTTTGTCATTATGGGACTCTCTGTCATCGCTCCTATCGCTGAGGCCGGCATTGCAATCCTTGCTGCCGGCGCAGAGGGCATTGCACTATCGGTTGCAGCAGGTGCCATGGCCATCTGCTCCTGGGCAGGTCCGGCACTCCTGGTTGCGGGCATCGTTATCGGCATTCTAATGCTTTTCCACCAGCACACTCCGGACCCTCCTTTATCCGCGCTAGAGCAATGGATTCAGGATCATGGAAAACCTTTCGTCGATCCTCTGAAAGATCCGCCGACTTCCGAGCTGACTTGGACGGTATCATCCCTTCAAAAAGACGCAAAGGATCAGACGCTGAGGATCAAGGGCGTCAACAATATCAAGACGACAGTAACGCTTGCGAATGTGCAGATCGAGTTCCCATCTGGTGGCTCTCCGGGCATGCTGTTCTCCGAGCAAGACTTTACTGCCGCCAAAAGTGATGCTAAGACACTGTCTCCGGGCCAGATTCAAGTCAGTAGTGCTCTTTCACCCGCCCCGGAACTCCAGATCATCCACACGGAGGCTATTCCTGGCAAAACAGCAGTACAAGAGTCGTTGACTTGGCTGTGCAAAATCGTTGGCGTGAGGCCGTCGAATAGTGACGTCGAAGAGGCCCGACCATTCCTGAGGCTCGGTGTTGGACAGCATATTGAGATTGCTATCGATGGCACGGTGATGGTGCCAGGGAAGGATGAGAAGGGCAGTGAGGTGAATGATCCTTCTGTTACGATCCATGCGGACTGGGTTGATGATAAGAACAATCCTTGGGATCAGTGGGAGTCTGTATTGCCGATTGTGTGGACAACGTGATTGCGTACGACGGTATGGACTGAATATATACAAGTAATGACGCTCAGATGGAAGGTCAGCCGCGATTTCGATTGTATGTGGATTGGGCATAGAGATGGTGGTGGTTCGAAAGCGTAGAGTTTATTTTATGCACAAGCTTATCGATAGGCTTATGCAAGCTTATGTAAGCTTCACAAAACTTTCCTACATCTCCCAAGCCAACCTCAACCTTGTCGTCATACGCCGAAATGTCTGTCCGAAAACGCAACGAGTTCCTAGAGGGCGACGAGAGTGACGGAGAATCGGATAATGGCTACGACTCCGAGGCGGACGAAGGAAGAGGCGCGATCGCGAACAAGCGCCGCAAAATCGACGCCGAATCTGGATCAGAAGCATCATTCGACGGCGTAGAAGATGAAGGGGAGGATCTCGAGCCAGTCAAAGCAGTAGCGGAGGACTCGCGATTCGACTTTTCGAAACTCGGAGCAGAAGAAGAGGCAGAACTTGAGCAGGAAGATGAGGCGGAAATCTCGCAATCGAAGCGCAAAAAATCCAAGGCGCAAAAGGAACTCGAAGCCGCGGCAAAAAAGACGCGAAAGTCGGGCGTCATCTACATCTCTCGCGTACCGCCCTTCATGAAACCGCAGACACTCAAACACTTCCTCGCACCTCACGCCTCGAAAGGCTTGAATCGCATCTTCCTCACGCCTGAAGACCACTCGCAACACCAGAACCGCGTCAAGCGAGGCGGCAACAAGAAGAAATCTTACACAGATGGCTGGGTGGAATTCAATAGCAAGACCGAAGCCAAACTCGCCGCGGAAGCTCTGAATGGGAATATCATCGGGGGCAAGAAGGGTGGTTATTACCATGATGATATTTGGAATATCAAGTACCTGAAGGGTTTCAAGTGGGATAACTTGACTGAGCAGATTAGGAATGAGAATGCCGAAAGGGCGGCGAGGCTGAAGCAGGAGATTTGGAAGACGAGGAAGGAGAATAAGAGGTTTGTGGAGGATGTGGAGAAGGGGAAGATGGCGGAGACGAGGGAGAGTAAGAAGAGAGCGAGGAGGGAGAAGGAGGGTGGTGGGATACAGGGGGAGAATGAGGATGCTGGTACAAATGCGAGAGCTATTGAGTTCAAGCAGAAGAAGGCGAAGAGTAAGGACGCGGCAGGCCAAGAGGAGAAGCCGTTTGGTGGCTCTCTACGCATCGGCAGTAAGATTTTCTGAGCTTAGCAAGGAAAAGTGCCTTCTGAACGATTGTCGGCGAGAAATGATCTTGTCACTTCTTCGGAAGGCATTGCTAACGCTGCTTGTGTCCTCTCTGGATCCACCTTTACTTTCACAGTTCGTCCGCCCTCGGGCTCATGCATGTGACATGCATGCAGGGATCTTGGCACCGAGTCTGCGAGCTCATGCATGTAACATCCGTCAGGGATCTTGGCACCAATTCTGCGAGCTCAAATCGGCGCGAGCTCTGCAACGCTCATCATATGACGAACATCCGCAGCAACCCATTTGCGAGCCGCAATCGCAATCTTGCACGGTACGCCATTTCAAAATCTCGGCTGTGATACGATCTGCTCATGACTACTTGCTAGCTGCGACCATTACCAGCTTCGTCGGCGCCCGTATTATAGGAATTTCCGAGTCACTCGAAGCTATATTGCTCAACATTACGACGACTGATCGGGCTTTACTACCCTGCTTCTGCTTCTGAGCCAGCGCAACAGTAGAGCGTTCTGCTACGCTATCCAAAGCTCCATTCGCCTCCACAAGCCGACAAGATCTTTTCATTTGATGAGCGACTCGAAGTTAGTCCAACTCTCGACCGGTCGTTACTAGCGACTTTCAACAGCATGCCGACCATCACTGCTGGCGCGCGAGTCGCAGGCACTACGGCACTACTTGAAGCTATTCTTCTCAATCTCAACCGCGATGAAGTCGACTTTAAGACATTGCTTCTTAGCTAGCAGGCTCCGACTGCCTTTCGCGATACCATTCAAGGATCTCTCAAGCTTCGTCAGGCGCTTTTCTTCGAACCACCAAACACTCCACGCAAGAGCAGCGATGTACCGGTCCGGCATGAATCCGTTGCTCCGACTTTCAAGCAGCCGTGAGAATTTTCCAACACGCTACGCCTGGTGGAGATTAGACCTACCTGTCGCCTTCAGTGACATGATCACCATTCAGCTTAGCGAGCTTGTCGATGGTCCTGCGGCAACCTTCTTCTCGATACATCGACTCGCGTCGAGATCTGCCATCGTTCCGTCAACTCAACTACCTCTGCCCTCGTGGACACGTATGTATGTCTTCCGGTGGAATTGTGTCGTCGAACGTGCAAGATGTCCGAATGTGCAGCGCACGAACCCGAAGCTGGGAGACATCCCTGGTGTAACAGGACCTCTCCTTGAGGAACGTCGTGTAGCTCCAGATGTGAAGTGGACCTTTCCAGATTCATGCTAAAGTGACACTTTTGGGACTGCGAACTACACTGGCCAAGACTTGATGCGACTTTATACTGCACTCATGGTGCCACGGCTCGGAGGACGTGCCATGACATGCACTGGACAGAGCTATGAGGAAAGCCGCGAGATGCATGCGGTACCACATCTCCAAGCACGGCTCGAGAGGATGGATTGAGCCAATACGACTTGGGATCCGAGAAGATGGGCATCGATGAGATGCGCCTTTTGGTACGAGGTCATTACCGAAGCCGCGAGACTGATTGTTTATTGAGCGACTATGAGTCAGCCGCCGATGGTCGATAGCCCAAGCACTGGTTTCTGTCTTCTGTGCCATTCTTTCATAACCTTTACTCATTGGCGCGGAGCGCAGTCCGATCCATTCCCTCACTTCGGCCGACAAGTTCTCAAACGGCCCGACGCCAAGCATTCATTGCACCCGAAGCTTCCTTTGCTCTGTGTAAAGCAGCGGCCGTCCATCATAGATCGAGGCTCGAGCTGAATGCCATCGCGAATGCGCCTTCGAGTTATCGATCTATTATAAAAATAAAAGCACATGCCAATGCCGACTATAAGTACATCTCGTAGCCAAGGCCCCAGGTAAGTATCACAACCAACATCTCCTTCTTCATCGCCTCCGAAAATGTCGTCTCTCCGCGTTCTAGTCGCCGGCGCCTCCATCGCAGGGCCGATGACAGCATACTGGCTCGCTCGCGCCGGCTGCACCGTCACCGTAATCGAGCGCTTCCCTGAACTCCGCAAAGGCGGGCAAAACGTCGACATCCGAACCGGCGGCGTCACAGTCATGCGTCGAACACCAGGAATGGAAGCAGCCGTACTCTCCAAAGTGCCCAAATGGGACGGAATGCAAATGGTCGGACCCAAAGGCGAGCCTCTCTTCACCATGACCGCGACCGGAGACCCAGACAATCAAAGCCTGGTGTCAGAATACGAAATCTATAGAGGAGACTTATCCACAATCCTCTACGATCTCACAATGCAAACGGGTCGAGTGAAATACATCTTCAACGAACAAATCACCGCGATTCAGCACAGCGAGAAACATCCAGATGCTCCAGTCACAGTCTCATTCGCCAACGGCACGCCCTCGACAGAATACGACCTCGTAGTAGCAGCCGACGGAGCCACCTCCCGAACTCGAGCAATAGGCCTCAACTGTGGTGTTCGAGACCATATCCACCCCATCAACGCCTGGGCGGCATATTTCTCCACTCCCAAAGACCTCCTCGAAGGCTCGATGCTCTGCAAAGCCAAATCCTCCGTCGGCGGACGCTGGTTGGCAATCGGAAAATCCCCCGAAGGCGGGAACCAAATCGTCATGCTAGGAATCCAGCCGAAGAACCAACCCGACGGAACCGGAAAATTTCGAGAAGCGCAAAGGAAAGGTGACGTTGCGTTGAAATCGTTCGTGAGCGAGTTCTTCCAATCGATCACATCGGAATGGAAAGGTCCAGAAGTCCTTCAAGCCCTTGCAGACTCTACAGACTTTTACGCTTCGGAGTCCTGTCAAGTTAAAGTCCCCTCTCTCCACCACAAACGTTTCGTTCTGGTCGGAGACGCGGGATACGCCACGGGTCCTACAGGTCAAGGCACATCTCTCGCCCTGACCGGAGCATACATCCTCGCGGGAGAGATTTCCTCACATAAAGACCATGTCGCGGCGGGTTTGAGGGCTTATGAGGAGAGGATGAAACCTATCATCAAAGAGTGTCAGACGATTCCACCGGGGATTCCGCAGATTTTGGCGCCGCAGACGGAATGGGGGATTTGGGGGAGGAATTTGCTTTTTGGGTTGTTTGTGAGTTATGGGAAGTATTTTGCTTGGTTGGGTGGGGTGTTTGGGACGGTGGGGAAGTTGTTTGGTGCTGGTGGGGGAGGCAAGTTTGAGATTCCTGAGTATGGGTTTGAGGATCGATGAGTTTTGTAGGATGCATTGTTGCGGCGATGGCGTTTTGGTACTTCTCCGTCTCGATTTCTAGTGTGAGGAGGTCAAACTCACCTCAGTGCGACCCGATAACGACAATGACTTTGAGCTCTTGAAGCTCTTGTCTTAATTCTAGACAGCTGTAACCAAGTAATACCATGCTTATTACCATCTTCTCATCCCCATCCCTAACACCCATAAATGTCCCATCATCATCAGGTCACCCACCAGTCGTCTCGAAATAATCCGGACAACCAGGACCGTTGAAAAGACATTTGCTCGTGTCCATGGTGGTATATAAAGTCGGCACTCTCCGAGCACATCTTCGATCGAGGTGGCTTGACTCTGTTGGACGTGCTCGACTGGCATAACTTGGCGTATGCACCTGTAAATCGCAGAAGCTGTCCGGGACCATTCTCATCGTGACGCCAATGAAGGTAGGCTCTGGATAGTAGTCATCAAGTTGGACTCTTCACTGATTCAAGCCTTGAGGTGCACTAGCTGAAGAGGGCCGAGCACGCTCAAGCTTTAACCAACCTCAAATTCCCACTCTCATCATCCTGAAGCTGCACATGCATCTCTCGAGCAGCAGCCGTCATACTCTGGCAACGTTTACCCGGCAACTCCTCCTCAGCAAAACCCACAGGCCCATGAAACAGCACAGCCAAACTCGACGACTTCCAAGCGACTTGACTTTTCTCCGCCGAGAAAATCGTCGTCAAGATCAAAAATATGACTGTCAAGAACACCAGCACAGCAGGATAACTGAGCCAAGGCCAATTGACCTTGATACGTGTCGAGAGATAATGCACTTCCCCGGCCACGGCCGTGGAATTAGGTCCCTGTCGAAGGGCATTGGTCATTCGAGTGGCGATGTTCTCAAGAGTTGCTGAGACATTTCGAGAATTCGCTGACCAGAAGAGTTGATCGAGAGCTGTGGCGCCTATATAATCGTTGCTGAGATCGTGCTCGAGGATGTGTAGCATGCTGTCAGATACGAGGGATTCGTCCTGGATGTTGATGCCCCATGCGGTTGTGGAATTGCGAATTTGTTCGGGACTTGGACAGACCTTGGTCTTTGGCAAATCTTTCTTTGTATAGGCCGCTTGTACGGATTGGTCCTCGTCTACGTCGATAGTGCCCAGTGGCATGCGCAATTGCCATTTCATTGCTTCGTCCACAGACATGCATTTGTGGAATGAGGAGTTGCCTCCGGTCGCTTGACCTGCAAACATGGCATACGGACGATAGAGTTGCTCGATCGTGGGCTCCGGTTCAAGGAGCTTGCCGTTTTCTGCGGAACTAGCTGCATATGTCTTCAGGCACCACGATAGCTTGCACTCGTATACCGTGGGACTCGGCCAGCCGGCCATGCTGTGATTGTTCCAGAGCTTCCATTGCAGATTGTCGTCCTCGGAGTGCGACAAGGCGGCATACGATAGGAATTCCGCCTGTTTTGCTTCAGTCATGAGTATACTGACCACGCTAGAGTTGAACAGCGTATAGCGTTGGCCGCTTCCGTCTGGCCTGTTCGGTGTGATATCAAAATAATCGACATCTCCACTACTGTTAGGTGTGACGAATGCATTGTACTCGGCTTGTAATTTGATTTTGCTTTCTGGGGTTGTATACTTGCACGACAGGCTATACCCCTTTTGAGCAGATCCCTCTGTGGTCGATGTGTCGTATGTGCAAGTCATTGTAGTGTTCGCGGTGACGTCGAGGCAGGATGAGCAGACCCCGAGCGTCTGAAAACTGGGCCAAGTACAGTTTCCTGAAGGGCAGCCGAAGCGAACGTCGTTTGGTAGAGCTATGTTATTTGGCAATAAGGCCATCAAAGACGCCGCACTGAGTCCATCTGCAAAGAGTCAGTGACTGCGTCCACGTCTGAGGCGCATGCATACACATACTGTTCTTGGTGCGATCCGAAGGATTGAGACTGTCGTGTGTATTGTAGTCGTAAGATCGTGCAGTGAATAGAGAAGCCTGTTCAGAGGGCGAGACGGAATTGTGCTGGACGTATGAAAGCACCTGCTGCGCAAATGGGTCTACTGCGAGCGCAAGAATTGTGAGAATGGCTCCCAGGGAGGCAGCAATCGCTCTCCACCTGATCCGAACCAGCAAGAGGGCAGCACCCCATGGTCCACGGCTTGCGCTGTCAAAGGTCTCGAAATCGATCAAGCGATGTGGTTTCTGCTCAAAGTAGACCCATTTGAGCTGGCCAATACACTCAGCTACCACAAGCAGCATCCAAAGTCGGACGAGTGTGATTAATGTAGAGATGACAGTGTTAGGCTTCATTTGCCACGGCAAATCCCATTTCTCCAAAGGTTCCCCATCGATCGAGTGTAGAACTGCTGCAACTGCAATGAGAGTGCCGACACTCAGAAATGCAGAGAGCAGTTCAGGCCACCAGGCTAGGAGTCTTTGAGAAGGCTTCTCGGCCTGATGAGGATACCTTCTATCTGATGATCTATCAGAGTCAGAACGTTCTCTAACAGTAGGACCTTTGAGAGGATCGGTCGATTGCGGTCCATGTTGTGTGCGTGAGGCTCGCTGCTGGCGAAAGTTTCTCAGAAAAGACGACATCGATTGTTCTACTAAACCTCGAGTAGGCTCTTAGATCCAGCGATGCATCCCGTATTGCACAGTAGTGGCAATACCAGAGATATAGCCGCTATGTTTTCAGCTCGGAATGTAGGCGAAGGATTGTGGCTGTTTCATGAGAACGGGTTTGTACTTGAGCAACAGCTCGCGTAACGCTACGCTACATCCCGTCAGGCGTACAACAATGTCTGTGTGCAGATGTGCCCTACATGCATGAGCTGCAGTGGTCTCTAAGTTAGCGCAAGCGCGTCGCGTATATAGCACATTGAAAGCGATGATCTTTTAGCCATCGTCCTGGGATTTGGCCCCAACAACGAACATAGGATCCCACAACGACACCTTCATGCATGCTATACACGATCCTCGCGGGGCACAGATGCATCTAATACATTATCGTCGGAGACGAAGCAGTAGGCAACGTATTGGGTGAATGACATTGTCGGTGTCTTCGCGGTCCGGAGCCGTTCCAGCGTATACATGTAGCCTCCAACTTTGCTTGTTAGAATATGCGAGCCGTAGTAGTAATGCTGTCGATTCATGCGGGCGACTGAGTAGTCTAGACTTGGTTGCAGAGCCAGGTCTCTCGCATCGAACGAACTCATCAAGACCCAGAAAGAGAAGAGAAATCGGAAAAAGAATGAACAATGACAAAAACCTCAACAACTCCATTACATTACTATATACAACACAATCACTCCCTCCCCCTCCAACTCGTCCTTACTTTCGAAAAGAAATCCTTCATACTCCCCCGCCTACTCAACCTCGAACTCGGCCTGCTATCAGGAGAAGCAAAGGACGTACCATCTACAAAAAAGACAGAACAATCAGCGTCCCTCTCACTCGCCATCAACGGTAGTACTCTCATGCTTCTGTGCATGACCATGACCATGACCATGCGACGAACGGAACGAACTCGACGTACCATTCCGCGTCACGGTGCGCGTAGAGCTCTTCCCTCCCGCGAACCCCGAAGAATGGGCGTGAAGATAACTGCTGCGACTCTCCTCCCAACGTTCCATTTCACGACACTTCTCCTCGTACTTGGCCAGAGCCTCGTCGCGTTCGCGGTCGGCAGTGGCACGCGCTGAGATGGCGCGTTCCTTTTGCTCGCGAGATTCGCGGAGCATGGTGCGGAGGGATTCGATTTCGAATTCCAGCTCGCCGCCTCCGTTTTCGTATTCGGTGATGGTCTCGCTGACTTCTTCGTAGCGGCGACGGTAGTCGTCGAGCTCCTTGTGCGCGCGGTCGCGGTGGCCGATGAGGGTTTTGGTTTCGGCTTGGAGGAGGGTGAGCTTCTCGTGAAGAGAGGTGATTTCGTGGTGGAGGTGGCCGTTCTTGTCGCGGTGCTCGTCACGTTCACGCTCAATAAGCTTGATGCGCTCGTTCGCGGATGAGACCTCAGCTCGGACCTGCGGTAATGTGTTAGCGGTGAGCGGTGATGAAGGCGGGTGGCGATGTGCTTACTTCAATCAAGGTAGACTCAGCCTTGGTTAGGCTGTCCTGCAGACCACGGTGGCGGTGATCGCCATCATGAGCCTTGTGGCGCTCGTTGTCCAGGTCATCACGGAACTGGTCACGCTCGATGATGATCGTGCGATGCTCCTCCTGAGAGCGCTCAAGCCGGTGCTGGAGATCGTGGATATCAGATTCGAGTTCCCTGATGCGGTCGTCCTTGCCGGAGACCTCCCTCTTCGAGTGTTCATGTTTGAGGACAATGTCGGCAAGACGATTCTCGACCTCCTCGATGCTGGTGCTCTTGCCTCTGATCTCAGTTCGAAGGCGCTCGATGGTGCTGTGGTGATCGTCGCGCTCGCCCTCGATCATGCGGATGCTCTCTCTGGTCTGCCGGTTCTCACGCTGAAGTCTCTCGTAGCGTTCGACAAGGTCTGAAAGCTCTCTGCTGATTTCCTCAGACTTGTTGCTGTGCTTCCTGACCTCTTCCAGAAGACGGTCCTTCTCGATGAGCGATGAATCCCGCTCGCGCTCCAAGGACTTGATGCGGTCGGTGAGAGTGTGGATCTCCTTCCGGGCCAACTCAAGCTTGGAGGTGAGCTCGGTGTTCTTGCTCTTGATATCGGTCTGGTCACGTGTAATGATCCGGAGCTCGCTGCGGTGCTTCTCGGACTCCTCTCTATGGTGATCACGCTCGCTCTCGACATTGCGAAGCTTGTCAAGAATGCCCTGGTGGTCAGACTTGCCCTTGTCGAAGTCAATCTGCAGACGAGAGCTTTGAATTCTGACTTCGCTGAGTTCTTTGCGCACATTCTCGAGCGCGTGGTCACGGTCAGCAACCTTTCTCTTCTGCTCATTGACACTGTTCAGGGCAGCAGAGAGCTCGATAAGAAGCTTCTCGATCTCCTTCCTGCGCTCACCAAGCTCACGTCCGTGGTGGTGGTGCTGAGTCTCCTTCTGCTCGAGAGTTTCGTTGATCTCCTCAATCTGAAGCATAAGCTCCTCTCGCTCGCGATCAAAGGACTCGCGGTCCGACATGAGTCGAGACCAGTACTCTTTCAGCGAAGATGCCTCACGCGAAGCATTCGACATGAGCTCAATCAAGCTGAAGAACTTGGACTCCGCCTGGCCAGTCAACTCCATTGACATCTTGCTGCGGTGCGAGTGCATGAAATTGCTCTGGCGCCGAGCTGAGGAGCTGACCTGGCGGCTGGTGCGAGCCAAGGAAGATCGGCCTCCAGCGACACTACGGCTGCTATGAAGCTTGCCGAGCCCAGCAGATGGAGTGCCCGGGTCAGAGAAGATATCATCATCGTACTCAGAAGATCTCAGCTTCATGATTGCCAGCTTTTCGGGAGTAATTTCGCCGAAGTCCTTATGGCCATGGAGAGTGTGAGAATCGGTGGTGGCTGATGAGAAGCCATTATGGGCAGTAGTGGAATCCATATTGAGGGAAGAGATGTTGGGTAAGGATGAAGTGGATTTCTGAAAGAACAATAAAAATCGCGCGACAAGGGTGCCGCGTGAAGCTCACCTATATAGCTATTTTCCTGATCCAGATCATGCTAAAGCACGTCGAGGTCAGTGCGGAGAACAAGTGCGAGGGTGGCAGGAAGCATTGGCGCCTTTGACCCAAATGGCATAGGTGGTCAGCTCGGTCACAGCGAATGAACCACGAGGTGTCCAACCAGAGACGAAGGCAAGCGCCTGTGCAGATGATGGGTCTGAAAGTTTTCAACTATCATGGATGTCACAGATGCCAACTGCATGCAAAATCTGCTGCTTTGGCATCTTTGGCTAGCTTCGATCAAGAACGTACAGCTGTGGGTAGCTCACGACCAGCCACAGACATTCGAACTGTCGGAACCAAAGTACACATGCCGTCCGACAGTTCGCGAAGCAAAGGCAGACTTCGCGATTGGCTGTCAAGGTCGTGGCTGCAGATGTCCTCACAGAACAATGATAGATCTGGACTTTGATTACTCGCAACGCGTCCTTTGCATCTCGAATGTAAGTTCGACAGAAGTTGCCGAAGTATTCTGGCCAGACCGATGCAGTGTAGTGAACATAAGGCCTACAGGACAGACCGGGATGATAGTCCCACTGTAATGGATCGTGTGTTTTTCCGCTTTGCGTTTCTGGCAAGCACGCTAGTGTAAACCTCGTCTCGACATGCTGTATAATTGCTGAGCAGGCCATACGACGCTGCAATTGCAGGCTGAAGGCTCGTTTGTGGTGATGGTGACTCCAGGAAGAACCACATGCTGAATGCAATAATACAGGTATGCAGTGTTCCAGTTTGAGCAAGCCACAGCTCTCTGCTTGCCGAGGTACCAATATATGTGTATGATCGATCGACTGGAGCTGCATGTAGCAATGCTTCGTCGACAAAGCTACCAGAATGCGAGTTCATAGCCAAGCTATTGGTGAATGTGGATCCTCCCATGTCTCCATCGAGGAGAGAACAACGCAGTGATGGAGTCTTGAACTTCGCATGTTCGGATGGCTCGCATGAGAATGATGTAGTCGGCGCTGTCCGAAGCTTATATCACTAGTCGATGTTGTGTGCTATACAAATTTGGCGTAGCGTACCTCATTTGCGCAGGACGTGCAGACGGCCCGTTGGCGATTCAACCCCCGACCAGATCTGCTGCCCGCCATCGGACTTCACAACTCTCAAGCATTGGCACAGCAGAGAGGTACCTCGGGGATTAATCCGCTACCGTGGCATCGTGTTTGCATCACTGGTCTTGCTCGTTAGGTGCTTCTCGTAGAGATAACATTGAGCATGGCCATTCTCCGGAGAAATGCTGATCAAGCCATGGCGATGTTTAAGCAATCGGCAACTCTTCCCACCATCGAGCTCTAATATACTCTGCTTCCGGCGATGCCGAGGAGAGGTACCCTGAGAGGGGGCGATACTCGCCAAATACTACTGCTTTTGAGCTGCAGAGACAACTGCGAACAGACCGAAGTTTCACTCTCGGACTATGGGACATTGTTGAGCAATTTTCGATGTTATAATGGCAGTCGACAGCATCTGGCATCGTGATTAGATGTGGCCTCAAGCAAGTGCCGATGGACTCATCATGTTGATGTCTTCCATTTGGTCCTCATAAACTTCCAATCGTAGGTGCAGTCGCATGCGTGCGGCTTGCAGGAAGACCGTTCATGCTCGGCTTTCCCACGGGTTGGACTGCTTTGATCGGCATTCACAGCCTCTCAAGGTCTGATCGAGGTCTATGCAAGCTGTAGGTCGTGGTGGGTAAGATCACTCATCACAAAGAGTGCTAGCTAAGGCTCGAGAGACTGTCCTTGTGCTCTCTGCTGTAACAGGGGCTTCTCCAGAGACTGGGTCCTGTTTCATCGAAGCAGTTCCTGGACATGTAGACACCATGCAGAGCCGCCAAAGCCTAGGATGGGGCACCGAATGCTAGCTTGGACCAAGACCGATGTTCGGACGCCACGAGAGCATCGAATACTGTCGCCAGTCGGATGCGCTCCACTGCCTGGCCTCGTAATCTAGAGCGTTGAGGGAGAAGCTGTTCGGTTCATGCGAACTGCTCGATGTGCTCCACTACTGCAGTAGGAACGCCAGAAGAAGCGTATCCGTGAGCTTGGTGGTTCGGAGCATTCCCTGGCCTTGGTCAAACTGACGGTCGGTACTGTGTACCGAAAGATCGAGCAGGCAGCTCCGATCCAACCCAAATGCTTCTCCGATCAATCTGGCTTCTAGTCTCTTGACCGCGTTGCCGTGCTCCAAAAAACGTGTTTCCATGTTCTCCGACTCGTCTCTGCACAAGAGCTGTACATTTCCATATCCTCATGCGTCGAGCGTGACCGTCCTTCTCTTATCACGTCCCTTCGCGCTCCCTCTCTCTTCTTTGGAATAAGGCCTTGACGCGTCTGCCGCTCAGTATCGCCGAAGCCCCTGCATCGTCGTTTACTTTAGTATGTCAGGTTTCCATCGACGCTTCCGAAACTCGCAGCATTGTGGAAGCGACATGTCGAAGTCTAGGAAAATCAAAGGCGATTGCGATGCGCGTTCTATCTGTGAGTAAGCAATGGCGTCGGGCAATGTGGACCACATCCCCGATCTTTCTTACTCAACCGTTCTCTGTCCTGGGGTAATCTTGGCAAACACCATAGTACCGATTGCTTCGCATTGCTTCGCTCGGTTGATCTTTCGGTTCAGAGAGATGGAAAATGATTGTTTGTGTATTTCGACGCGATTTGGTGATGTGGTGGTCGAGCGAGGACGGGTTCTGTGTTTGGATGAATTCGGGAAAAGATGGAATGTGACAATTGAGAAAGATGCGCACCATGTTGCGCATTTGCCAGAGGCCTTCAGGAATGATTAAGACGCAGAATTCCAACTTCCTTATGGTTGGGAACCCGCCGCCTTCCCAAAACTTCGAGTCATCAGTGATGCTGGCCAATTATTACTCGACTGGATCAAAACAGCCCTCTGGCTCGACCAAGTCAATGCATGCTGTCCTCAAACTTCCTCCTTTTGCCTCGCTCAACTGTTCTAACACCGCTTTCCCGACGATACTTCAAAACTTTCTGAAGGGCTTGAGGGGACCGGAGATATTATCACCAAACCCCTACTCCAAGTTAGCGACCACAATCAGCCTGCTATCGCAAAGCACTTACGTAGATGGGCTTGCCAATTCTGTTCAGCGCGTAGACCACGTCCAAGGTTGTCACTGTCTTGCGCTGCTGGTACTCTAGCGAATGTCAGTCTCGCCGCCTGATGATCTCCGGAAAGCAGCTCAACATACCAACGATGCAGCAGGCAATCGCCAAAATCTGTCGAGTTGGTTCAGCAAGGATCCGCAAAGAACTGAGTGCTGCTTTGACGTACCTTCTTGAGAAACTCCATGAGAGTCAGGCGAACTTCTCCGTAGATGTCTGCCGAAATACGCTTGACACCGCCACGGCGAGCAAGACGACGTATGGCGGGCTTGGTGATGCCCTGGATGCTGTCGCGAAGAATCTTGCTGTGAGGATGTCAGTCGTGGATATCGTACGTATGACAGCTGGTCATGAGGGTGTTCATACTGATGGCGCTTGGCTCCTCCTATCACGCCATTGCGCTTTGCGAAAGGACCGCCTCTGGTGACACCCTTTCGCACTGCTTTGCCGGCTAGCTTCGGGCCCGTGTAGCGACTCGCGGATGGTGAAGCACCAAGGATCTGGCTTCCCTCACGAGCCATTTCGTCGCAATTTTATATGACCTGCGGACGAGTTTGTTGGGGGATGGGCGCAATGGATGTCGATGTCTAATCAAGAGTAAGATGAGGGTCGAGACTCGATCGCCCACGTGCTCGCATTGAAGCTCACCTGAAACTGCCATCGTGCAGCATGCATAAACCGTTGACGCTAGTGCCGAAACCCCATCAAGAAGAGCATTGATATTGTCGGAACAACGAAAGGAGGCCCCAGGCCCTCTTGGAGTTCCATCCCGTCCTGGTGATTTTGTGGAGCGTGATAGTCAGCAACCGTGCGAAATGAGTACCGGGAGAGCGGTCCAGGTTCCTCGACATCGGCCGTGCTGCTGCGGTAGATCACGAATCATCCCACAGGGTTGCTTACTACGAGTTCATCAGAAAAATTGTAACATACTATTGACAGTACTCACCGGTCAATAGTGAGGGGCATTTGAAGTTGAAGTATAGCGTCACTTCGAAGCGATGCAAATAGCGGTGTAGAAGATCTGCCCCAGAAGTTTCCCGGGCGTTGTGTGCGGTTGCCAGCTAGATTGCGAGGCGAGAATGGGGTGATGCTGGATTTCACCGTGAGAAAGTGAAGCTGCTGCCAGATTAGGTTTGCCGTTATTAGGCAGCCACGAAGGTGAGAAAGCGTAGCCTTCAAGTTGTGAAGTGCTGTTCCAGTGGCGGTACTTAGTATATAGTTCGGGCGCCATAGGCGTCGTCGTCGAGCGTGTGGAAGGATGTTGCAGTGGTGGGTGCGTGATCTGGCGGGCACAGCAGTAGAGACGAGCTGCTCAGCCAGAGCACTACTCGACTAGGCGCATCGCGGCGCGAAACGTCGAGCCAGAGTGAAGTAGCAGTGTGACCGCGCGAGGACTGCAGTGATGAGCGATGAGAGGCCTGCGGACCGCTTTGTGAACAGCCCAGGTGATCGGTGGTCAGGGTGACATATCAGGATCTGAAGATAGTAAGGAAAGCGCAACTGAGTCGCATGGTACTTCAAGTCTATTCTCGTGTCATTACGTATGCTCATCATATCAAGCTGGAAGTATGTTATGGGGATCATATCCATTACTGCTCACCAGAGCTTCCACCAGCGCCAACTCCACTATGCCAACTGTGATGACAACATCTACAAGCTCTGGTACCTTACGAGATGAAGGTGGCCTCCATGAACAGCCGCCCTTCTTCGATCTTCTCCTCGCCGCCAATATTCAGCTTCAGCTTCAGCGTGGGCTCGTATTGGTAGATGTATGGCTTCGTGCCCGCTGCGCCTGCTACGATCTGCTTGACGAATTTCGGAACTTCTCCCATGACATCGACGCGATCTGATCTTGTGATAGGGCTGACAATCTCGGCATGGAGGTCTTTGCCGTCCTTGGTCTTGCCGTCCCACGAGCAAGAAACGCCACTTGGCTCGGGCCAGTCGTTCTCCTTGTCGCCCTTGATCTCGGTGTGCTGCACTTTGGTGTCCGGTGATGCTCCTGCCCAGATGATCTCGCCATCTTTCGCAATCACGCCCACGTTTACCACTGTCGATCCGTACGAGGGTGGCGTGGTGAACTCCATCATGATGGCGGAGGTAGCAGGTGACTGATAGTTGATGAAGTTCCATTTGGAGGCTGGATCAAGTTAGCAGGTGCGCGCCAAAATATGGAATTTGGCATACCAGCAAAATGAGGCTTCATGCCTTGAAGTGCATGGATGAAAATACCCACTCCCTTCATGTCGACCGGTCCATCCTTGGTCAAGATGGTTCCCTCCACCCGACATCTTGGCCAAAACGCGTGCTTCATCTTACCCCACGGCTGCTGGATATCGGTTCCAAATCGTGTCACACCATCCTTGCCCACGACCACGCCGGGTGCAGACTGTGTGAACTTCAAGTCAACGATCGAATTCTTGTTCACACTCGATTTGATGATATAGCTCTTGCCATCCTCGGTCAGATCCATTGAGACATTCTTCGCCTTGAAGTTCTGCTTATCCTTGGAGATCTCGAATTTGTCGAGGTTGTCTGACGCCCAAATGTGCGGTTTCCCGGCCTCTTTTGCAAAGACCTTGCTGCTGAATTGTGCCGTCGTTCGTACACCCCTGTCATCGACATGTCAGCTTGTACTCATCGAATCTCCGCATTCTCCTGACTCACATGACATCGCTGTAGATGACCTGAGCCATACCGATGTGTCCATTGTCTCCAACGACGTAGAAGGTCTTGGTCTCGACATTTGTGCCGCTCAGAATCTCCCATGCCAAGTCATCTCTTGTAAGCTCTGTGTATGGAGTTTCTTTCGTCTGCTCGGCGACGGAATGGCAGGCTTCAGGTCCGTAGTTGTGGTCTGTGAGACCCACACTGTATGCCAGTATTAGTGTTGCTGCCTACGAGAAGGGATCGGGCTCGCACATGCGTCTGCTTCATCCAGTTCAACATGGTGTCTAGGAAATGCTTCTCGATCAACGAGAAGTTAAGGCGCTATTCGAGAATTTGTATGTCCAGCTTCAAGGTAATTCCAGTTCTCGCCAGCCCGAGTCGCGCGAAACCGCGAAGCTGAGATGATGACGAAACGGCGCCAAGAGGCATGGAGTGGCCGGCAATAATAGTTGGCTCTATCGAACTAATTTCTTCATCCAACTTCGACCTCATGTTTCACCATCACGACACTCTGAACTATCACGGCTGCGATCGAGTCTTGTCAAAGGCAACATCTGCCATGGCTGTTGGCCGTAGCGACCGCCTTTCGCCGTCCAAGAGAAGTGCCATCCCTCTCGCGAGCGGCTTGTCTCGAAGAGGCACCATTCCCGCCTCCGCCTCGAAAACAACCCCCGCTCGCTCTTGATTCAACAACTGATGTATGTCCTCCTGATGGCACTGCTCGCATATCGGTAAAACTTCTCTCGGTAAGTTGCTGATTGATCCTCTCACTGGTCTCTATCTGTTGCCTTCAAGAATTTTCCCAGAGCTCAAGTTCGACCTTCAATCACTACTACTACCAGAGGGTGCTGCGTGGTGGGCTCGCTAGATCCAAGACCCACCATCATCCGTCAAAGCGCATTCCAGAGCTCCTTCGATAGAGGAGCTGGATGCCATCGAGCTTTGAGATATAGGACGACTTACAACATCCAAGCAGCAATAAGGCCTTCTCTGCAGGTCCAAAATCTCTTGCTCAAATACATAAACCATGCTGGTCAAGCTCAGAAGCACCTTAGACACCCGACGACCTCGAAGCCAGCCAGCGATCAACGCCGATGCGAGACAGCGACCGGAATCCTGCCCACCTTCAGCAATCCGCCTATGAACAGATGGAGGGTGCTCTATTGCTGCGTTGTATACTTTGCGAATGGAATGAGCGATAGTGCAATAATTCCTTACATCGAAGACTGGTACTAAATCGGCTACGCAATCGTCTCACTTATTTGGATTGCGAATGCTATAGGCTTTATACTATCAGCATAGTTCAATGAACCTATCGTGGACAAACTGGGACGTGCAAACTCTTCGATGCTCTCCGCGAGTCTTATGTGCGACAGCAGACAGCCAATGTGAAAAGAAGCATCTCACCACATTCTCGCGTAGGACCTCCAATGACACAATGCAGACCTGGTTCGTGAGCACACCAGCGGTGAGCGTGCCTTGCAGTGGAGTTGCATGTTTCAAACTTGTGATGTCAGTGCCGTATAGGTCCAAGTCAGGAAAGAGTGTTCACAGTGGAATGGTTGAGGAAAGAGTACGGAGTCACTTCGCTTGACACCTCTACCTCTTTTCTGTCAAGAGCGTATGGGATTCTTCAGTCCCTACACAAACCATTCCAACACTTCTCTGTGCTCGATCCCCAGACCCACGCGAAAATTGATCGAGGATCGCGCCAAGACTCAAGATTCAAAGTTTGGGCTAAACTCTAAATCTACGCGACCACCTGCGTAAATTTAATTATTTTCTTCTTCTTTTGCACCTTTCTCCCAGAACCTCAACCCCACTACTGGGAGAACAGAGCCGAAGATGTCGCTCACCATGACTGACGGCGGCGACGAGAAGGGCATGTGCCTTGAAGTCAAGGACGGCGACTCCTCCATTCGCTTTTGCGAAGGAAAGGCATTTGGAGCACATCGGTCATGCGCCGGTGAGCTTGTCTTTCAAACAGGAATGGTGGGCTATCCAGAGTCGATTACAGATCCTTCATACCGCGGACAGATTCTGGTCATCACCTTTCCCCTGGTCGGCAACTACGGTGTACCTTCGCGAGAGACCAGAGATCCAATTCTTCCCGATCTGCCCGCTCACTTCGAGTCCTCCGAGATCCACATTGCAGGTCTAGTAGTAGCCTCATATTGTGGCGAAGACTACTCGCATCACTTAGCTGCGAGCTCGCTGGGGAAATGGTTGAAGGAGCAGAACGTGCCTGCCATTTGCGGCGTGGACACTCGAGCCTTGACCAAGAAGATTAGAGAGAAAGGAAGCATGCTCGGCAGATTGCTCGTCCAGACAGGCTCTAGGAGAGTCCTGAATGGTACGGCATCGCCAAGCGGACTCGCTACACCAAATGGCACAACTCCAGCCACTGCGCCTGGTGGCCCAAACCTGCACGAGGTTAACAATGCCCTCGCACCAAATGGCCTTGCCAATGGTGCCAATGGTGCGAACGGACACGCGGGAAGTTCGAAAGAGGTGGCAGTATACGAGGATATCGATTTCTACGATCCCAATACCAGAAATCTGGTCGCCGACGGTAAGCTTGACTTACCACTAGCCCTCAGTAGTAGTAGAACGAAATCTAATCATTCTCAGTGTCAATGAAGCAACCCAAGATTTATTCCCCACCTACGTCGAGTGCGTTGCGTCATCCTTCAGGTCGTGCCGTGCGTGTTCTCTGTGTCGATGTTGGTCTTAAATACAATCAACTGCGCTGCCTGGTGTCGCGCGGTGTTGAGGTTGAAGTCGTGCCGTGGGACTATGATTTCCCAGGTCTTGCGGGCAAGGAATACGATGGTCTCTTCATCTCCAACGGTCCTGGCGATCCAGCGATGATGCAGCAGACTGTCAAGAACATTCAAAAGACAATGGCAGAGGCACGAGTACCAGTCTTTGGTATCTGTTTAGGACACCAGCTTCTGGCTCGCGCTGCTGGTGCGGAAACAATGAAGATGAAGTTCGGTAACCGCGGACACAACATTCCTTGCACAAACCTGCTTTCAGGAAAGTGCTACATCACATCGCAGAACCACGGTTATGCTGTGAACGCTGAAACTTTGCCGGAGGGCTGGAGCGAGCTCTTCATCAACGCAAACGACAACAGCAACGAAGGTATCCGACATGTCAGCCGACCATATTTTTCGGTGCAGTTCCACCCAGAGTCCACTCCAGGACCGAGAGACACCGAGTTCCTGTTCGATGTCTTTATCAGCACCATCCAAAATGTCATCAGCGACCCATCTCTCATGCAGAAGCCAGTTGTCTTCCCAGGCGGCGACATCGAGGAGAACAGAGCGAACAAGCCACGAGTCAATGTCAAGAAGGTTCTTGTCCTGGGATCCGGAGGTCTCAGCATTGGTCAAGCCGGAGAATTCGACTACTCTGGTAGTCAGGCTATCAAGGCGCTCAAGGAAGAAGGTATCTACACAATTCTTATCAACCCGAACATCGCCACGATCCAAACTTCGAAAGGTCTTGCCGACAAGGTCTACTTCCTGCCAGTCAATGCAGACTTTGTGCGCAAAGTCATCAAGCAGGAGCGACCAGATGCCATCTACTGCACATTCGGTGGCCAAACCGCTCTGCAGGTTGGTATTCAACTCAAGGATGAGTTCGAACCACTCGGCGTTAAGGTGCTCGGTACGCCGATTGATACCATCATTACTACCGAGGACCGTGAGTTGTTTGCTCGTAGCATGGACTCTATTGGCGCACCTTGCGCAAAGTCAAAGTCAGCTACCAACATGAAGGAGGCTCTCGAGGCTGTTGAAGGCATCGGCTTCCCAGTCATCGTGCGTGCCGCATACGCTCTTGGAGGTCTTGGTTCCGGCTTTGCATCGAACGAGAAGGAATTTGTTGAGCTCTGCCACAAGGCCTTTGCCGCCAGCCCACAGATCCTTGTCGAGCGCAGTATGAAGGGCTGGAAAGAAATCGAGTATGAGGTCGTCCGTGATGCGCAGGACAACTGTATTACCGTGTGTAACATGGAGAACTTCGATCCCCTCGGCATCCACACTGGCGACTCTATCGTTGTTGCTCCTTCGCAGACCCTCTCAGACGAAGACTATAACATGCTCCGGACCACAGCGGTCAGAGTCATCCGTCATCTCGGAGTCGTGGGTGAGTGCAACATTCAATACGCCCTCAACCCGGACAGCAGAGAGTATTGCATCATCGAGGTCAACGCCCGTCTATCGAGATCCTCAGCTCTGGCATCAAAGGCAACCGGATACCCACTCGCTTTCGTAGCCGCCAAGCTTGGTCTCAACATCCCACTCAACGAGATCAAGAACAGCGTTACGAAGGAGACGTGCGCCTGCTTCGAGCCATCTCTCGATTATGTTGTTGTCAAGATCCCACGATGGGATCTGAAGAAGTTCACACGAGTGTCGACGCTCCTCGGCTCATCAATGAAGAGTGTTGGTGAGGTCATGGCTATTGGTCGCACCTTTGAGGAAGCCATTCAGAAAGCCATTCGATCCGTCGACCCAAGCAATTTGGGCTACCACCAGACTCCGGCACTCATGTCTATCGATATTGACACCGAGCTTCAGACACCATCTGACCAGCGCATGTTCGCCCTGGCAAATGCCATGCACAACGGCTACTCAGTCGACAAGATCTGGGAGCTTACCAAGATTGACAAATGGTTCCTGCGGAAACTAAAGGGCATCAACGACTTCGGCAAGCTTCTCGCCGAATATGGTGTCGACAGCATCCCGCCTCAGCTTTTCCGCGCAGCTAAGGAAATGGGCTTCAGCGATAAGCAGCTCTCGCTGTTCTTCGACAGCAACGAGAACCACGTCCGACGTGCTCGTCTGGCGCACAACATCACACCTGTTGTAAAACAGATCGACACCGTTGCCGCCGAGTTTCCAGCATTCACAAACTATCTCTACCTGACTTACAACGGATCTGAGCACGACATCACCTTCAATGACCGTGGCGTCATGGTCCTCGGATCAGGCGTATACAGAATCGGTTCATCCGTAGAGTTCGATTGGTGCTCTGTGCGAACTGTGAGGACTTTGAGAGCTGCTGGCTACAAGACTGTGATGGTGAACTACAACCCCGAGACCGTGTCGACCGATTACGACGAAGCCGACAGACTTTACTTTGAGAACATCACGCTGGAGCAGATCCTCGATATCTACCAGCTCGAGAGTGCCAGCGGAGTCATCCTTTCTATGGGTGGTCAAACGCCAAACAACATCTCGCTACCACTTTACCGCTCCAACGTTAAGATCCTTGGAACGTCGCCTGAGATGATCGATACCGCCGAGAACCGATACAAGTTCTCTCGTATGCTCGACAGATTGGGCGTTGATCAGCCAGAATGGAAAGAGCTCACCAGTACCGAGGAGGCAAAGGCCTTCTGCAACAAGGTCAAGTACCCAGTGCTTGTGCGACCGTCATACGTGCTATCTGGAGCCGCCATGAATACTGTCTACTCCGAGCACGACCTGAAGAACTACCTCGACCAGGCCGCGGAGGTGTCTAAGGAGCACCCTGTCGTGATCACGAAATACATCGAGAACGCCAAAGAGATCGAGATGGATGCTGTTGCCCGCAATGGAACCATGATCGGCCACTTCGTTTCCGAGCATGTCGAGAACGCTGGTGTGCACTCCGGAGATGCCACACTCATCCTGCCTCCTCAGGATTTGGATCCAGAGACGGTTCGCAAGATCGAAGATGCCACCCGCAAGATCGGCGAGGCTCTCAATGTCACTGGTCCATACAACATTCAATTCATCGCCAAGGACAACGATATTAAGGTCATCGAATGCAATGTGCGAGCCTCGAGATCATTCCCATTCGTCTCCAAGGTGACTGGCCTGGATCTGATCGAGATGGCCACCAAAGCAATGAGCGGACTGCCAGTTCGCGAATACCCGCCGCTCAACATTCCTCCGGACTACGTTGCTGTCAAGGTGCCACAGTTCTCCTTCTCACGTCTCGCTGGTGCCGATCCAGTCATGGGTGTCGAGATGGCGTCTACTGGTGAGGTTGCTTGCTTCGGTCGCACGAAGTTCGAAGCCTACATCAAGGGACTCATCTCCACTGGCTTTAAGCTGCCAAAGAAGAACATCCTCATCTCGATCGGTTCTTTCAAGGACAAGATGGAACTGCTCCCCTCCATTCAGACATTGTACAAGATGGGCTTCAAGCTTTTCGCAACTGCTGGTACTGCTGACTTCCTGGAGGAGCACGGCATCCAGGTCCAGTTCTTGGAAGCTCTCGGAGACGACTCCCAGCGCGAGGAGTACTCGTTGACCCACGCCCTGGCCAATAACCTCATCGATCTGTACATCAACTTGCCATCCGCGAACAAATTCCGGCGTCCAGCGAACTACATGTCCAAGGGATACCGCACTCGCCGCATGGCTGTTGACTTCCAAACGCCACTTGTCACGAACGTCAAGATCGCTAAGATCTTGATTGAGGCCATCTCGCGCAACTACGACTTCAGCGTGACCAAGGTCGACTACCAGAGCTGGGAAGAGATCCCGAGCGCTCCTGCTGTGCTACCTGCACCTCAGGTTTCTGAGCCACTTGAGGACATGCTCAAGCGATCATCATTCAAAGGCAAGGACGTCATCTCTGTCAAGAATATCACCAAGGAGCAGCTGCACTTGCTCTTCACTGTTGCAGCTGAGATGCGTCTTGGTGTTGAGCGACAAGGCTCTCTTGACGTGCTCAAGGGCCGTGTTCTCGCCCTGATGTTCTACGAGCCATCTACACGCACATCCTGCTCTTTCGATGCGGCGATGAAGCGTCTTGGCGGCCAGACCGTGGTTGTCAACGAGGCCCACGCCAGTACCAAGAAGGGTGAGACTCTTTCCGATACTATCCGCACCCTTGACCAATACTCCGACGCCATCGTCCTCCGGCACCCAGAAGGCGACTCTGCCGAAATCGCTGCCAAAGCTGCTGATTCACCAATCATCAACGCTGGCAATGGCTCCAAAGAGCACCCAACTCAAGCCTTCCTTGACCTCTTCACCATGCGAGAAGAACTTGGTACTGTCAACGGTCTGACCATCACCTTCACCGGCGACCTCAAATACGGCCGCACGGTCCACTCCCTCTGCGAAGTCCTCCGCCACTACAACGTCAGAATTCAGCTCGTCTCTCCATCCGCGCTTGCCCTCCCATCCAAGATCCGGGGCACCCTCGAAGAACGCGGCCAGCTCCTCTCCGTTTCAGACAAGCTCACTCCAGAGATCATCGCTAACACCGATGTCCTCTACTGCACGAGAGTTCAGAAAGAGCGCTTCGACGATCTGGGCGTCTACGAAGCCGTCAAAGACTCTCTCGTGGTCAGCGCCAAGACGCTCCGAGATGCGAAGAAGAACATGATCGTCATGCACCCACTTCCCAGAAACCAGGAATTGGACGAGGAAGTCGATGATGACCCGCGAGCTGCGTACTTCCGACAAATGAGATACGGTATGTTTGTGCGCATGGCATTGCTGGCACTTGTTATGTCGAATTAGGGACAAGAAAATGGAGGCATGATGATGGCGTTTTTGGTGGATGGAACGAACGGAGAAGAGGAAAAAGCACAAAAAAAGTTTGGGTTCTCACGACCGATCGCTTTTGATGGACTTAGGTAGACCATGATGGCGCTTTTTCATGATGTATTATACCTGCGCTCCTGGTGTCTGCTACCTACTGCAATGACTTGATGAGTTACGTCGATGGAGTCTTTTGGTTTGGATAGATTTGTGTACTATCGTATGCGTCTGGAATGTGGGTTCGGGAATGTGGACGTCGTTTCCGACTTTGGGTTGGGTTGGGTTTCCTTCACCTGTCCTCGACTGCAATATTTCCTTTCTTCTTCTCACACAACATATCCAGTTTCTGGTCCTGAAGACATTGAATGTGTTTGGAACCCTTCTTCTGGAGCTCAGACGAAGGTATGCTATGGGAAAGCGCATATATCTTGGGGCTGGATACACGATCTTTCGCTCTTGACTCGCGAGACTGCGAAGTGGGACTTCACAGGATTGAATAAACTCATCATATTCGAGGAAAACAAAAGTCTCAGGCTTGGAGAATAGCAAGAGCTTACCAGTGGAGATATTTCGCACAAATTGGTGTATGGGAGCTCTTCAGCAATCTCGTCAAATCCTCCGACTACTGGCAGCATTCTGGCAAGGTCACCACGATCATCATCCTCGCTCATCATGGCGGCCCCAGCTGGGGTTTCGACACTCTGGTAAAAACCCTCGAAGATCAGGAAAATCAGCGGGAAATTTTTATCAAGTGGGTAAAGGACACTGCTGCAAGAGCAGGCCAGTGCTGTACCCATGCGACGTTGATGATGTCGACAGTGAAAGACTGGACCTGTCTTTTAGACTACTCCCGAACATCTTCAAACGCTCCAAAGGTCGAATTCTGAAGGCCGTGGAGGCCTTCTTCATATCTCGATGCCGCTTGAAGTCATGTGCAAACGCCGTAAGAAAGGCAAGAGTAAGATGCCCAAGGATCTCAATCGCCCTACCTTGCGAGCTGGCTTTCCCTATGTCAATGAGCAGTTGTCACATCTGGTGAACTAAATTAATAAGACTGTGAGGTCCGCTGAAGTTAAATGTAGGTGAAGTTGTGAGAAGTGAGCCTCAGAGCCTCAGACGCAGCGCATGTTATCGGTAGGTACTGTAGAGTAAGATTCCCTTTCCAACTGACCTCCTGACTCATGCATCAAAATTGTATAGAACTCACCAATGATGTTAATCAACAGCGCACTTGCCTTTGCGAGCTTCAAATCTGCATGTGACACGTTGGAAGTCTTGGCATCCGTCTGGCAACAGTTCAAGGCAGCTCACTTCGAACATTACGACTCATCACGTCTTGAGCCATCAACATCGGGCCACCAAGGCGCCCGCCGCCAAGATGGACAAACCAGAGCACGACCACTACGGCATACTGAAGATCACCATCAATTGCCTCCCGGCCCATATCAAGAAGGCTTATCGCAAACAATCGCCCATCCATCACCCGACAACCTTGGAGGCACGTAGGCAAACCTACGACAAGGCACACATCATGGCCGTTGCAGCAAGTATCAAACTATAACAATTGGTCATCTCAAAAACACTGAACCAGTTCCAGATTCAATTTCGCGTACGAAGAAGTCTCGTCAGAACATTTTGACACAGCAAAATCCAAGATGCAGGCAGGGTATGAGTGAGTGCTAGGGACCTGGGGACGTGTTGGAAACTTGAAGGTGGTTGGATGTGAGGCGTGAAGAGAAGAGAGTGGATAAGGTATCGAGATTTGTTTGTAGCATTGAAAGGATATACAAGCATAGGAAACTTGAACCATTCATCAGTACCCGATGAATTCCCCGTCCCAATTCTATCTAGTTCCACCCAATCCCACACTCAAAACCTTCCCTTCCCACCTACCCACCCAAGTCCCCCCACTCATCCTTTTCTTTCCTACCTCCCCCTACACCCCATCCCCATCCCCAAACCCCCCCAAAATCCTAGGACTACTCCCCTTCTCCATCAAATCCTCCATCTCCTCCTGCGTCGCCACAAACGTCTTACGTCTCGGACTTCCCCCCTTCTCCGCCTCATCATGCGGATCAACCAAAACCTCACTTCTCGCCCTCCCGAAACCCAGACGATTGACCAGAGAAGTTTTCCTTCGGGGGGAGGAAGAAGAGGAAGAATCTTCAAAGATGTTGTGATCGTCGTCTTGATGTAGCTTTCGGGGGTGTTTGGATGGGGAGGGGAGGGTGAGGGCTAGGGAGCGGGAACGGGTGTGTTTTTGGCGGGTGGTGTTGGGGGCGGGGAGGATAGGTGCTTCGCCTTCTTCGGCGGAATTTTCCCGGGTCGAGAAAGGGAGGGTGCGGTTTGAAGTTGGAGAGCCGGAGGAGGCGTCGATGCCGCTGGAACGGTGGCGGAGGGGGTATGGTCTTCTTGGTGATGGATCCAGGGTTTTGGAAGGAGTGTTTGGGGAAGCGGAGAGGTTGGAGTTCATGCTGAATCTGCTGTTGGGGCGGGATTGCCAGTCTGACATGCTGATGTTGTCTAGATTTTCACCTTCTTCTCCGCTTCGGGGGCTTAGTTCGTAGAGGTCGCTGAGAGGGCGACTGAATTGGCTGGTGCCGGATGGAGGGTCGCTTGTTCTGGTCATTTGCTTTGTGGGTGTTGTGGGACTCATGGCTGGACGTGCGGAGTCTGGTGCTTGAGTGCTTGGGCTTTGGCGGGAGATCACTGGTATTGAGGAAGTTGTTGGAGTTCCAACCATCTGTTTCAGCGCCTCTGGCACGAGAGGTTGTGGTGGGTCTGATTTTGTTTTCTTCGGTGGGGACTTATAAGGGCTGAAATTGGGGAAAAGGCTGCTACCCCAGCTGGCAACTCTTTGAACGAGCCCAGATCTGCTCTCCGACTTCTGAGGTGTTGATATATCGTGGCCTTCGAGCCTTGACAGCCATTCTTTAGCACATTCTCGCTCGCTGCAGCCTACGACGTTGATGACCTGGTCCAGAAGGAAGGCAGGTCTCTCTCCTTCAGAGTCTCCTGTGTGCATGCCTATTGCCATATTCACTAATGCTTGGTAGAACTGACATCTTGCAACCGTAATGTCTGGCGCATTGCAGTGTAGTGCCAACGAAACTGCAAGTCTGGAGCTCTCGCGCATAATTTTCATTCGCTCAGCTTCCAGGTTCATCGTCATCGCATCTCTGAGACCCAGGACACATGGGAGCAGCGCAATCTTGATCAGAATATCTTGCTTCAACGCGAAATGCTTGCCTAAGGAGGGTTTGTCGAGCGCGACACTTCTCAGTCTGCTTGCTGGACCCATCGGCCTATATCCATTGTTGTATTCATCGTGATCTTCGCTATCCAGCCCAGAGTCACCATTTTTGAATGCATCCTGCGCATCATCGTCATCTCCCAGGCCTTTATCGCGGGTCGAATGGTCATCTGCACCCAATGTCTCCTTCTCATGCTGCTCCTCTTCCGACTTGGTCGTCCTCGGCAGTCCAGAGACGTCATTTTCGACGCGTAAATCGTCCGCGTCCACGTTGTTCAGATCCGCGACCTCGGAAGACATGCTTCTTGGCAGCGCATCGGAATGTGTTCTGGGAAGGCATGCACGAGGAATGCATCCTGCAGGTGTCTCGAATTCCTTTCCATTCTTTATTCAAGATAGCGCTGATGCCGGATTAAGCAGTAGTTTGCGTTGAAGACAAAGACTCTGGTTCACAGATGCCGCAAGAAGGAGACATGAGAGTCAATACCTACTGCTTGCTAGATGTTATGTGACTACTCAGCGCGATTTGACGCGCACCTCTATGACTGACGCGGCATGAGCTGGGAACCTGACGAGGGCATGAAGGAGATAGCGTCGGCAGCGGTAGGGGGAGATTGGCGCGAATGGTAATATTGGCGCAGCCGTAAAGCAGAGGATGCAAGTCCGTCCGAAGTGAGATCTCATGGATCTTGGTGCAACGCCTAAGCGGAGTTTGCCGCAATGGGCCACACAAAGCTGACGTCTGGTACCTATTTCTTGACAGATGACCTCGCTCTCCAACGGCTTACCTCAGGTGCCACAGCAGAGGAACGGCCCTGGAGATCCCACTATTGTCGTTTCACGTGAGTGTTGATCAAGAGACTACCAGTGAAACAGAGCGTAGCTTTTTCACATGAAGAAAAAGACAGAAATGAGGCATGTCTGCATCTGGCCCTTGCATCAGATGGCGTGGGAGAGTCGATCGGACCATAATAAAGAATCACAAAGCTCCATCCGCGCCAATCGCGGATTTTTGGCAGCGCTGGTCACGGTGGCGTCTCGTGTGCTCCAGGTACTAGCTTAAAAGCCAGGCCATCGGTTCTCCTGCTCATTTGTTCCATGTGCGAAGGTACACATGGTGTCCGGGCATTGGAGGGTGTTCCTGTCATGCTGTACGGCTGTGTAAGTTCTCAATGTCAGTATCCGACACCAATACAACGCGTTCGTCCCAGCGATTGGAGGCAGGATGCTGTGACATGTTGGACGGTTCCGGGAAAGGAGCTGGAAACAGATAGAGGCCGCTCCGCTCCGCCACCTCGTCGCACACCGACCTCGAGCGAACGTTATTGGAGAAAAGCATGCGCGCGACGCGTGTGATATTTTCGCGACCCGAAATGGGCACTAGGAGGACCCAGCGGCGAGGACTGGTGTATTTCTAGAGGTTGTTGTTGTTGCCATTCTGTACTTCTGTACGATCAAGCATCCGCATTTGGATTTCTACTTTGGATGCTAGCCTCAGCAGCAGGTTCGTGGCTTTCAACGAACCAAAGCGCTATAACCCCGGACGCCGACGTGACACGATTGCGGAGAGGTTCTTTGTCTTCACTCCTTGCGTGCGGCGGCTATGCGTTGACGATAGTCTTTGGCTGCGTTGAGCGAGAACGCCTGCGTCGAGCCAGCCGGGTATTCGATGCACTACCATATTGGAAACTGACATTCTGCAAGATCCCGTGGCCGGTCGCACCAAGCAATGTCGCAATGCTGCATTTGCACGACAGGATTTCTCTACTTTCACTCGTTTGACGCCATCCTGCCTCACAAAGCTCTGCAGAGCGCCAGTTTCGGGTGCGGGTGGAGTCATCTGAACATGACAGTCAGGCAAAGGCTCGCTGTGGGACGGCAGTGCAAAGTGGTCCACTTTCGTCAGCCAGTACGAAGCTGAGCTGCTCAGTCCAGCGTTTGCTTGCTTGCTTGCCTGCTTGCGAGGGAATCATAATCGATGATTGAGGTGAGCTCGGTGAGAGAATTTTGGCGAGCTGTCCAAGCACATTGCAGGCAGGCGTCAGTCACCGCCTTTGTTGGTTGTGAGTTGTAAGGTGAGAGAATGGTATGCTTAGCATAAGGGTTGGGTAGAAGTGCAGTCGGTGTGCGAATGAGAAGGCGTTAAAATGTTTTGCAGACGGAGATTGGCCTATCAACGTCTGGTCGCAAGGCCGGCTCATCAAAGTAGAATACGGGAGGAATCTTGCATGCATGCATACACCCTAGGCGACTCGTGTGCGCTGTCGGTGACGTTTAAGCTCCAGCTTGCTAGCGGATGCAGCGCAGTGATGCGTGTCAAGTCTACTGAGCACTTTCAACCAGTCATAATCACAATAATAGCAGACACGAATCTACGTAGTTCTATCTGGCTGGTGAGAGCTCAGCTGCTGAGATGACGAGCTGTCGTCGTCTTCTCATGTTCCTTGTCGCAGACGAGACGTGGTCAAAATTTAAGTGCGATCCGTATGTGCACTGGTGCAGACGAACAACGTTTCGGGTTCTCTGCACGGCCGGCTCTCATTTTGGCACGGCCGGCCCGTGGGGGATATAGTAGGGATGGTAGGGTAGAGTAGTGCTATAGTAGAGCAGAGGCACCACGAGGCAGCGGCAGCGGCAGCGGCAGCGGCAGCGGCAGCGGGACAGCTCCCAGGTGTCGGGCTGCATGGATGATGGGCTTCCGCATCGTTCGGAGTCGACGGACACAAGCCTGTGGCCTACGTGAGGTGGCATGAACTCCTTCAGACTACTGCAGTCCTGCGTGTGGCCGCACAGCGACTAGGACAGCTGCAGAGACTCCAGAGAGCGAGAGCGAGAGCGGCAGATGCTGAGCGCGGTGCTGCTGCTTGCGAGAGGACGAGAGTCGAAGAAGCAACGTCAGGACTCTTGACTCAAGGTTCACACAGCGTCCGTGCAGCCGAAATAGCTAAGTTACGCGGGACAGAGTGGCGAGAAGAAGGATAATAATGATTGAGGCTTTGCGCGGTGGCAGGGCTCTCGTCTTCGTAAGCACGTCCAGCATGTTCCCGCGCATGCTGGCACACAGAGACGGCATGTCCGGAGTGCTGCAATCGGTAGCCGTCGATGCGCGGCGGAGCTGCTTCGCACTCCGAGCCATACGAACAACTTAGTAGTATAGCCGTCGCCGTGGTTTGGGGTTTGGGAGGGGGCTGGATACATGTATGCTGCACGCTAACGTTGGTCGTTAACAAAGCAAGGCTTTCCTGGGCCGCCTGCACTTCTCCTTTCACGCGCTCGCTCTCGCTCCTGAGCGCCCGCCGTCGACTCCCTCTTCTCAGTCTTCTGCCACCCAAATTAAATCTCCAGGGGCCAGGCATCTAAACAACTCTGCAACGCCCGCTCCGACTGGCCACGGCCCACGGCCCACGGGAAACGCACATTTCGAAAATCAGACGTTTTCTCAGCCACCGTCACCGCGCGCTGTTTCGAGTGCGCTGCGCCAAAGTGCCTGGTCACAGCGTGCGCCCTGGATTGACAGGGGCAGGCCAAGATCTGACTTTCGCGGTCGCCCATATACCTCGCTTCGCCGCCGCGCGCCCTGCCTGCTTCTTTCTCTTCCGCACTCTTCCAGAGGACACCCACCCAGGCTGCAGCAGCATCATCATACCTATTATTCCTAAGGAACCATTCACTCCCCCATCATATCACGAGGTCTCTCCGATCTCGTCTCTGGATTTGCACTTCGCAAATCAACATCACAACAACAGCTCAATGTACGGACGAAGGCAGGCACTCACTCCAACAACCTCCTCCTCTCGTCCTCCGTTGCCACACTGTCGACCTCACCGCCCTCGATAAATCCTCCATCTTGCTCGCGAACACTCTGGCGCCCCTTGTGATTCTTCGATAAGGACTCGAGGCGCGTCTGGACGCCTCGCCATCGCCTCGATGGCAACATTCCAGACATACCCGACACCTCCTGCATACGCATACTACACTCATCGCACGCCTCCACACACACCACCACCCGCCGCAGGAGCTTATGCATCATACTACTCACCGCGCCAATTCAGCTACAGTTCGACGCCGCAAAAAGGCCACCAACGGAGGGCGACGGGCGATGGAGCCACCTTCACCTACACCTACACCACCAAGACACCGCCTCCTCCCAGGAATGCGACCTACTACTCGACACCAGAGCCTACTTATCACACTTCTGCGCAATCGACGCCGCAGCGGAAGTCCGACTATGTAAGTGGCTCTGATCGCAAACGCGAAAGCGCTCGATATTCGTATCGAGTGCCCGCCGACGGCACCAAGCAGTACAAGTTCTCGAGCACCAAGCACTACTCGTCGCGGCCGCAGTACAATGTTCATGAAGAATACTGCTACGACCGCTCGTACGACGAACTGCCGCGCTACGAACAGTACGAGTCGCGGCCACCGCCGTACAAGCGACAACAGACTCATGAGGCACGTACTGATCGTCGATACCGTGATCAGGTGCCCATCTACACAGCAGCAGCCGATGCCACTCCAAAAGCATCCACACGAACTCGACGCGCATCCTACGCTACGAAGCCGACGAACCCACCACCGAGGCCTCGCACCAGCACCGCCTCCAAGCCGACCGCCAAGGCAACAGAGGACGATGCGCGTCGCGCTGGCATCCCCGCCGGTTACTCCTTCAAGAATTGGGACCCAACCGAAGAGCCAATCCTGCTGCTGGGATCGGTCTTCGACGCCAACTCCCTCGGCAAATGGATCTACGATTGGACCGTCTTCTTCTACGGCCCGGCAACACCCATGTCCGAAGTTGCCGGCGAGTTGTGGCTCTTACTCATCCAATTAGCCCACAAAATCAAGCGCGCCGAAGAGAGCATGTCACGCATCCGATCGCAAGCATCCCGTGACATGGTCGACGACTTCCTCGAATCCGGCGAAAGGCTGTGGCAGCGTTTCAACAAACTCCTCAAAATCTGCGAAAACTACATGTGGAAGGCGGCGAAGAAGGAGAGTGGGAATTCGAAGAATGTGTCCATGGGCAAGAATAGTGGGTGCGAATTTGTTGATACCATCTTCGGGCGCGATCGGGAGTTGGATCGTACGGAGAAGCTTATGACCGGCATGCGGTTGTGGAGTATGCGCTTCGACGCCAATTGCGAAGACATCCTGCGCAACCCTGGAGCTTAGAGACGCGAACCGACGCGCGCTGTTGCCTGGAGTCACAGTGGCGAAAACTCAGAACTCGACTCTTACTCGCGCCGGCGTTTTGGCTTGCTTTGACAGACATCGCCACTTTCAACCTGTTGACTGCGATTCGTGCGAAGCTTCTGATACCCCAACCACAACTTTACCTATACATTACTGGTGTTAAGAGAGAGAGAGAAAGAGAACACATCACGGAGTTTATGCTTCGTCCTGAATCGAACCGGACTGGACATGTACGAATATATCATCCGATCACAGGGGCGCGCGCGATGGCTTATCACGGAAGGCTGGCTTTTGCATTTCCATTTCCGCTCCGATGAGTGACTCATCGTGTTTCAGCATCATGCATCATCACTGGCGGTCTTTGGGGGATTTTATTTTAGACCGACACAACCAAAAAAAGTTGGATCTTGATTAAAGCCATATACCCTTTTGCGAATGAGGCATCTTTGGTAGTTTGATTGTGGGTTTAATTGTCTAGGAGTTCGATATATCGAACTTGATTTGTTAGTTTTTTGGGGGATTTATTTTTTTAGATATATGGAATACTGTTATTGTTCATGTCTTTCCCTTCTCCTCCTTCTCTCTCTATCCTATGACCTAAAACATGTTATGGCTGAGGGTGTATGTGATAGTGACAACGCGCACTCAAGCGCCGTGATATGAAGAAGTCTCCAAGCGCCGAGACGCCCACCAAACCAGTCAATCTCAACATCTCTACACCACACGTGCAGCGCATCGAAGGTCGGCACATTCTACTTCACCCCATTTGTGCCCGCTCTTCTACATGACTACACCAACTATAGAAGATCCTACTTACGGAATCCGAGTTCTTTGACGTCAGATTTGAGTCCAGTAGTTTCGTTATTAGTGCTTGCTGTACCGCGGATAGCCACGCTGCACACCTTCCTTTCCATCCTTCCCGCCTTTTTTGTTGTGCGAACTGCTGATCGATCGGTGTGCTGGGATCAAGGGTGGTTGGGGTATGTGTACGGAGGTACTTAGGAACTTTGATGCCATTGCCACTGCCACTGCCATATATCGACGATCGTTGCGTCGCTTGTAAATAATAATGCGATGATGTTTGTTGCCGTTGTGCTTTCCCGACGGTAGTTCTATCTACATAACCATGACGACTGGAGTCACATGTCCAACTGCGCGCGCCGAAGTTGCGGCTGACAAGCATGAGTATATGTATGTACCTCGAAGGGAACTGGTCGATATGTACTTGGAGATCTTCTTCAGCCCTACCCTCGTCCTCGCCCTCGTCCTCGTCCTCGTCGCACCACACGTGCCTGCACCGCCCACTTTGTACCTGCCGGCTAAACTCTTCTCTGCAAAGCTGACCTGCATATATACGACTCGTATGTACGATGCGAATCGCGAAAGTTTGAGCGTGCTATTTTGAGATTCCCGCTCGTTTTCTTTTCTTTGAATTGTTATTACGAAGCATGAAGAGGGTTTGTCGGGTTGACATGAGTAATCCATCATCGTAACACTAGGGCTTATGTGGCTCGAAGAGCCACACGAGAAGCCTAAGGCAACGAGTAGCTAAAGTCTTATCTAGACGCCTATAGTAGGCCTAATCTAAAACGCGTATAGTAAGTTATATCTAAAACGCTAATCCTAAAAAGTAATATTAATCCGGAACGCGTTATAGATATTAGAAAGCACTATTTAGAAACGCTTATAGCGAGCACTATTAGGAACGCTTATAGCAAGATAGTCTTAAATATCTATAGTAACTACTTCCGGAATATGCCTATAGTAATTACTATCCGGAATACCTATAGCGAGTACTATTCGAAATATCTATAGTAAGTAGTTCTTTCCGAGTTAGAACGCTTATAGTAAGTACTACCTATAAGGCGTATAGTAAGTACTACCTATAAGGCGGATACTAAGTCTAATCTAAAACGCCTATAGTAATTTTAATCTAAAACACTTATAGGGATTCTTATTTAGAACGCTTATAATACTAAGTACTATTCGGAACGCGTATAGTAAGTCTAATCCGGAGCGCTAATAGTTAGTACTACTATCTATAACGCCTATACTAAGTTTTATTTAGAACGCGCTATATAGTAATTCTAATCCGAAACGCTTATACTAAGTCTTATCCGGAACGCGTATAGTAAGTACTATCCGGAACGCGTATAGTAGGTCTAATTCGGAACGGTAATAGTAAGTACTATTACGAACGCTTATAGTAAGTAGTACTTTCTAAAATACCTATAGTAAGTACTATTTAGAATACTTATAGCAAGTTATATCCTTATAGCGAGCGCTAAGTACCCTATATAACGCCTACTACGAGTACCTTATAAAACGCCTATAGCGAGTACTCTATAGAATACCTATAGCGAGTAGTACTATCCGGAACGCGTAGAACAAGCCTTATTTTAAACGCTTAGTATAGTTAGTTCTATATAAACCGGAACGCGTATAGCAAGTCTAATTTAAAACGCTTATAGAAAGTCTTATCCGGAATATATATAGTAAGTCTAAGTCTAATCCGAAACTAAATACTTATATTAGGTACTACCCGGAAGGCCTAAAGCGAGTAGTACTATCTGGAACGCTTATAGCAAATACTATCTAAAACGCCTATAGCTAAATAGTATTCGAACTATTTATAGCAAGTACCCTATATAACGCCTACTACGAGTGCCCTAAAAAACGCCTATAGCGAGCCGGATTCCGGAATGCGCCTATAGTAATTGCTATCCGGAATACCTATAGCGAGTACTATTCGAAATATCTATAGTAAGTAGTTCTTTCCGAGTCGGAACACTTATAGCAAGTACTGCCTACAAGGCGTATAGTAAGTCTAATTCAAAACGCTTATAGCAACTTTAATCGAAAACAACTATAGGAATTCTAATTTAGAACGCTTATAATACTAAGTACTATTCGGAACGCGTATAGTAAGTCTAATCCGGAGCGCTAACAGTTAGTACTACTATCTATAACGCCTATACTAAGTTTTATTTAGAACGCGCTATATAGTAACTCTAATACGGATCGCCTATACTAAGTCTTATCCGGAACGCGTATAGTAAGTACTATCCGAAACGCGTATAGTAAGTCTAAAATAGAACGCTAATAGTAAGTACTACTAAGAACGCCTATAGCAAGTAGTACTTTCTAAAATACCTATAGTAAGTACTATTTAGAATACTTATAGCAAGTTATATCTAAAACGCCTATAGTAAATGCTACTAAAAACGCTTATAGCGAGTAGTATTATTCGAAACGCTTATAGCGGTAACTATCCGAGATATCTATAGCGAGTAGCACTATCCGGAACGCCTATAGCAAATACTATCTAAAACGCCTATAGGCTATAGTAAATAGCATTAGAACTACTTTTAGCGGACACCCTATATAACGCCTACTACGAGTACCTTATAAAACGCCTATAGCGAGCACTCTATAGAACACCTATAGCGAGTAGTACTATACGGAACGCGTAGGAGTCGATAGGACAAGCCTTATTTTAAACGCTTAGTATAGTTAGTCCTATATAAACCGGAACGCGTATACTAAGTCTAATCTAAAACGCTTATAGAAAGTCTTATCCGGAATGTATAAATTAAGTCTAAGTCTAATCCGAAACTAAATACTTATATTAAGCACTATCCGGAAGGCCTATAGGCTAAGACTATAGCGAGCAGCACTATCCGGAACGCTTATAGTAAGTACTATCTAAAACGCCTATAGTTAAACAGCATTCGAACTATCTATAGCGAGTACCCTATATAACGCCTACTCTGAGTACCCTATAGAACGCCTATAGCGAGTACTCTATAGAACATCTATAGCGAGCAGTACTATCCGGAACGCGTAGAATAAGCTAACTGTTACTAACAACGCCTATAGTAAGGCTAACTTAGAGCACTTATAATAGTAAGTACTATTCGGAACGCGTATAGTAAGTCTAATCCAGAGCGCTAACAGTTAGCACTACTATCTAAAACGCCTATACTAAGTTCTATTTAGAACGCGCTATATAGCAATTCTAATCCGAAACGCTTATACTAAGTCTTATCCGGAACGCGTAGAGTAAGTACTATCCGGAACGTATATAGCAAGTCTAATTCGGAACGCTAATAGTAAGTACTACTAAGAACGCTTAAAGCAAGTAGTACTATCTAAAATACCTATAGCAAGTGCTATTTAGAATACCTATAGTAAGTCTAATCCAAAACGCCCGAAACGCCTATAGCAAATACTGCTAAAAACGCTTATAGCGAGTAGTAATATTCGAAACGCTTATAGCGATAATTATCCGAGATATCTTTAGCGAGTAGTACTTTCCGGAACGCTTATAGTAGATACTATGTAAAACGCCTATAGTTACTAAATAGTATTCGAACTACTTATAGCGAGTACCTTATATAACGCCTACTGCGAGTACCTTATAAAGCGCCTATAGCGAGTACTCTATAGAATATCTATAGCGAGTAGTACTATCCGAAACGCGTAGGCTAAGCCTTTCGAGTATACCGCCTCGAGCAAATACCGCCGGATTAGGTATAAACGACCGATATAGCATCGGAAATAATACTATCGTAGCCTTACGATATATACTACGACTCCTACAATCTCCGAACCGCTTACGAACTATATACTACGACTCCTATAATCTCCGAACCGCTCGTAAACTAAGAAATTTTAAAGTTCCTCGGCTATAGCTAAGTAGAGTCGGCTTTTAGCTTATTTTAAGCCGTAGTAAGCCTAAAGGGGCCGTAAGTACCCTATAAAACGCCTATAGCGAGTACTCTATAGAATACCTATAGCGAGTAGTACTATCCGGAACGCGTAGGACAAGCTAACTACTATCTATAACGCCTATAGAAAGTCTGATTTAGAACGTTTATAATAGTAACTTAGTAAGTACTATCCGGAACGCGTATAGCAAGTCTAATCCGGAGCGCTAATAGCAGGTACTACTAAGAACGCCTATAGCAAGTAGGACTATCTAAAATACCTATAGTAAGTGCTATTTAGAATACCTATAGCAAGTTATATCCGAAACACCTATAGAAAATACTACTAAAGACGCCTATAGCGAGTACTCTATAGAATACCTATAGCGAGTAGTACTATATAGAACGCGTAGGACAAGCCTTATTTTAAACGCTTAGTATAGTTGGTCCGATATAAACCGGAAGGCGTATACTATACGCAAGTCTAATCCGAAACGCTTATAGAAAGTCTTATCCGGAATGTATAAAGTAAGACTAAGTCTAATCCGAAACTAAATACTTATACTAAGCACTATCCGGAAGGCCTATAGCGAGTAGTACTATCCGGAACGCTTATAGCAAATACTATCTAAAACGCCTATAGTTAAATAGCATTCGAACTATTTATAGCGAATACCCTATAGGGCCTATATAACGCCTACTACGAGTACTCTATAGAATATCTATAGCGAGTAGTACTATCCGGAACGCGTAGGATAAGCTAACTATCATCTATAACGCCTATAATAGGTCTAATTTAGAACGCTTACAATACTAAGTACTATTAAGAAGGCGTATAGCAAGTCTAATCCGGAGCGCTACCTGTTAGTACTACTATCTATAACGCCTATACTAAGTTTTATTTAGAACGCGCTATATAGTAATTCTAATCCGAAACGCTTATACTAAGTCTTATCCAGAACGCGTAGAGTAAGTACTATCCGGAACGCGTATAGTAGGTCTAATTCAGAACGGTAATAGTAAGCACTATTACGAACGCTTATAGTAAGTAGCACTTTCTAAAATACCTATAGTAAGTACTATTTATAATACTTAGAGCAAGTTATATCCGAAACGCTTATAGTGAATACTACTAAAAACGCCTATAGCGAGCAGTAATACTCGAAACGCCTATAGCGGTAACTATCTAAGATATCTATAGCGAGTAGTACTGTCCGGAACGCGTAGGACAAGCCTTATTTTAAACGCTTAGTATAGTTCGTCCTATATAAACCGGAACGCGTATAGCAAGTCTAATAATCTAATCCAAAACGCCTACAGAAAGTCTTGTCCGGAATATATAAAGTAAGTCTAAGTCCAATCTAAGACTGGGTGCTTGTGCTAAGTACTACCCGGAAGGCCTATAGCGAGTAGTACTATCCGGAACGCTTATAGCAAATACTATCTAAAACGCCTATAGCAAACAGCATTCGAACTACTTAGAGCGAGTAGCCTATATAGCACCTACTACAAGTACCTTATAAAACGCCTATAGCGAGCACTCTATATAATACGGTATATCTATAGCAGTAGTAGTATCCGGAACGCGCAGGACAGGCCTCATTTTAAACGCTTAGTATAGTTAGTTCTATATAAACCGGTACGCGTATAGCAAGTCTAATCCGAAACGCTTATAGAAAGTCTTATCTGAAATGTATAGAGCAAGTCTAACTATCTAAGTCTAATCCGAAACTAAATACTTATATTAAGTACTATCCGGAAGGCTTATAGCGAGTAGTACTATCCGGATTGCATATAGTAAGTCCAATCCGGAGCGCTAATAGCAAGTACTATTAAGAACGCTTATAGCAAGTAGTACTATTAAATTACCTATAGTAAGTACTATTTAGAATACTTATAGCAAGTTATATCCGAAACGCTTATAGTAAATACTACTAAACCCGATTATAGCGAGTAGTAATATTCGAAACGCTTATAGCGGCAACCGTCTAAGATATCTATAGCGAGTAGTACTATCCGGAATGCCTATAGCAAATACTATCTAAAACGCCTATAGTTTAATAGTATTCGAACTATTTATAGCGAGTACCCTATATAACGCCTACTACGAGTACCTTATAAAACGCCTATAGCGAGTACTCTATAGGATACCTATAGCGAGTAGTACTATCCGGAACGCGTAGGATAAGCCTTATTTTAAACGCTTAGTATATTTAGGCCTATATAAACCGGAACGCGTATAGCGGGTCTAATCTAAAATACCTACAGAAAGTCCTATCCGGAATATATAGAGTAAGTCTAAGTCTAATCCGAAACCAAATGCCTATATTAAGTACTACCCGGAAGGCCTATAGCGAGTAGTACTGTAATACTGTCCGGAACGCTTATAGCAAACACTATCTGGAACGCCTATAGGCTGGCTATAGCTAAATAGTATTCGAACTATTTATAGCGAGTACCTTATATAACGCCTACTACGAGTACCCTACAAAACGCCTATAGCGAGTACTCTATAGAATATCTGTAGCGAGTAGCACTATCCGGAACGCGTAGGATAAGCTAACTATTATCTATAACGCCTATAAAAAGTCTAATTTAGAACGCCTATAATACTAAGTACTATTTAGAACACGAAGGTCTATTTAAAACGCGCTATATAGCAATTCTAATCCGAAATGCCTATACTAAGTCTTATCCGAAACGCGTAGAGTAAGACTATCCGGAACGCTAATAGCGAGTACTACTAAGAACGCTTATAGCAAGTAGGACTATCTAAAGTACCTATAGCAAGTGCTATTTAGAATACGTATAGCAAGTCTAATCCGAAACGCCTATAGCAAATACTACTAAAAGCGCTTATAGCGAGTAGTAATATTCGAAACGCTTGTAGCGGTAACTATATTATCCGAGATATCTATAGCAAGTAGTACTATCCGGAACGCTTATAGCAAACACTATCTAAAACGCCTATAGCAAACAGTATTTTAACTACCTATAGCGAGTACCCTATATAACGCCTGCTACGAGTACCTTAGAGAACGCCTATAGCGAGCACTCTATAGAATACCTATAGCAAGTAGTACTGTCCGGAACGCGTAGGACAAGCCTTATTTTAAACGCTTAGTATAGTTAGTCCGATATAAACCGGAACGCGTATAGCAAGTCTAATCCGAAGTACTGCTAAGAACGCTTATAGTAAGTAGTACTATCTAAAATACCTATAGTAAGTACTGTTTAGAATACTAATAGCAAGTTATATCGGAAGCGCTTATAGTAAATACTACTAAAAACGCTTATAGCGAGTAGTAACATTCGAAACGCTTATAGCGGTAACTATTTAAGATATCTATAGCGAGCAGTACTATCCGGATCGCCTATAGTAAAGACTATCTAAAACGCCTAAAGCTAAACAGTATTCGAACTACCTATAGCGAGTACCCTATATAACGCCTACTACGAGTACTCTATAAATATAGGAATTTCAATTTAGAACACTTATAATCCTAAGTACTATTTGGAACGTATATAGTAAGTCTAATCCGGAGCGCTAACAGTTAGTACTACTATCTATAGCGCCTATACTAAGTTTTATTTAAAACGCGCTATATAGTAATTCTAATCCGGAACGCTTCTACTAAGTCTAATCCGGAACGCGTAGCGTAAGCACTATCCGGAACGTATATAGCAAGTCTAATTCGCAACGCTAATAGCAAGTACTATTAAAATTTAAGCACGCTTATAGCAAGCGGTACTACCTAAAGTGCCTATAGTAAGTACTATTTAGAATACTTATAGCAAGAAGTACTGTATTATATCCGAAACGCTTATAGTAAATACTATTTCAAACGCCTATAGGAAATAGTATTCGAACTACCTATAGTAAGTACCCTATATAACGCCTACTACGAGTATCCTATAGGGCGCCTATAGCGAGTGCTCTATAGAATATCTATAGCGAGTAGTACTATCCGGAACGCGTAGAACAAGCCTTATTTTACACGCTTAGTACAGTATAAACCGGAAGGCGTATAGCAAGTCTAATCCGAAACGCTTATAGAACGTCTTATCCGGAATGTATAAAGTAAGTCTAAGTCTAATCCGAAACTAAATACTTATACGAAGCACTATCCGGAAGGCCTATAGCGAGTAGTACTATCCGGAACGCTTATAGCAAATACTATCTAAAACGCCTATAGTTAAATAGCATTCGAACTATCTATAGCGAGTACCCTATATAACGCCTATAGCGAGTACTCTATAGAATATCTATAGCGAGTAGTACTATCCGGAACGCGTAGGATAAGCTAACTATTATCTATAACGCCTATAATAGGTCTAATTCAGAACGCTTATAATACTAAGTACTATTTAGAACGCGTATAGTAAGTCTAATAACTCTAATCCGGAGCGCTAACAGTTAGTACTACTGTCTATAACGCCTATACTAAGTTTTATTTAGAACGCACTATATAGCAATTCTAATCCGAAACGCTTATACTAAGTCTTATCCGGAACGCGTATAGTAAGTCTAATTCGGAACGCAAATAGCAAGTACTATTAAGAACGCTTATAGCAAGTAGGACTATCTAAAATACCTATAGTAAGTCCTATTTAGAATACTTATAGCAAGTCTAATCCGAAACGCTTATAGTAAATACTACTAAAAACGCTTATAGCGAGTAGTAATATTTGAAACGCTTATAGCGGTAACTGTCCGAGATAGCTATAGCGAGTAGTCCTATCCGAAACGCTTATAGTAAATACTATCTAAAACGCCTATAGTTAAATAGGATTCGAACTATTTATAGCGAGTACCTTATCTAACGCCTACTATAAGTACCCTATAAAACGCCTATAGCGAGTAGTACTATCCGGAACGCGTAGGATAAGCCTTTCGAGCCTACCGCTCCGAGTAAATACCGCCGGATTAGGCGCGAACGATACCGCTTCGAGCAAAAAACGCCGCCGGATTAGGGGTAAACGATAGAGACGGCCTCGGAAACACTACTATCGCGGCGCCGGAGCGTTATAGTCGATACCGCGACTCCTACGCCCTCCGGACCGCTCGAGAATTGAGAAATTTTAAAGTTCCTCGCCGCCGACTAATTAGAGTCGGCTTTTCGGTCGTTTTAAGCCGTACTAAGCCTAAAGGGGCCCTAACTTTTGTTAAGTTGTTATATTATACTAGTGTTTATATAGCTCGAAGAGCTATAAGTAAAGGACGAAGTACTATAAGTAAAGGCCGAAGAGCTATAAGTAAAGGCTAAGGCGACGAGCAGGATAGGGTAAGCTAGATTCTAGAAGATTCTACGGCAGCTGTAGCCGTACCGCGCTAGGCAACAAGGCGGAAATCGTTACAAATCGCGCTTTATAAATCGCGCGCCTTTCTAATAATAACTTCTTCTACTTACTACTACTTACTACTACTACTACTACTACTACGACTCGTTGCTACTCCCTTTCTATCTTTACTAAGCTAGATACTATACCTACCCCCTATACTAGCCTCTATAGAAACCCCGAGCAAGATCTCGAGCGCTACCGGTAAGTTTGATATTGTCGCTAAATCTTTATAACCGCGTCGCTAATAGTATTAGTCGCTTAAGTGTTTAAGAGTAAGGAAGTAATCGATCTCGCCGGTACGTCGTCTAACGAGTCTCTACCTCGCTCTACAAAGCGAGTTCTATCTAAGAAGACCGGCTCTAAGAGGGTCGCGACTCTAGTAAGTCTCGTTTATAAATATATATTGCTAGATGTACTAACCCTTAAAGCTCGTCGTAGGCGAAGTCTTCGCACGTTTCGTTAGCGGCATAGTGCGCCGCCTTATATTTAACTATACCGTCGTCCTCTAAGAAGGCGCTAAGACTATCGAGTACTAGTAGCTACTAGGCACCTCTACTATAAACGCTTAATCGTACGCTACCCTCCTAGGATCGGACTTTACCCGGGACTTTAGCGCTAGCTCTCCTTTCGTCTAGATAGGACCTAGGAATCGATTTGCTATAGGAATCTGTATCGCCGCTACTCGGAAGAACGCGATAATCTAAGAATAATATACTAATTAAGAAGTTAAAAGTTAGAAAAAGCGAGAGGAAATAAGATAAGATATACTGTCTACGCTATAGGGCGCGGACCGATATATATACTCTACGGAGGTTAGTTAGCCCTCCGCAAAAAATAAAATCTATAAAGTAACTTACAATCTTCTCCTTCCTGTTTTTATCTCGTCTACCCGTATAATAGATATATACTAGGCCTATAATATCGGTTAGCGAAGCTAGCAATGTTTAATCTCGCGTTTCTTAGTACGTTACCGCCGTTATTGCTATTCGTATTATAGTCGTCTTAAAATGTATACCTAATCTAGTTAAGTCCGTTCTACTGCTACGACGACTTCTATACGAGCTCGCTTACTATCTGTTTTCCGTATATAACCGCTTGCAATCTCGCTAATACTCTCGTAATATATATCTCGAATATACTACGTCGTAAACGTAGGAGAATTAGAATATAACAATTCCGCTAGAAACTCGAAGAGTTACTAGAGCTATGCTTCGCTTATGCTTCTCCTAAGTTCTTCCGCTTTCTAAGACACTTCCGGGGTAAAGTCGTATTCCTACTAGTAGCTAGCATCCTTAGTAGAGATAGTCTCTTAATGTTCTAGGGTGCCCTCTTCCTATTCGTACTCTATAGATAGAGGTCGAGTATTCGATTTCGAAGCCCGCCCGCTATCTTCGAATTCTAGTAATACTACTCTCTTCCGGTTACAGTTTATATAGCTAGTACAGCTCCTAGGATCTCCTCTATAAGCGCAATTACTATATAGTAGCTTTAGCGCTAGGTTATAGGAATAACGGCACCCTTCGAAATAACTACGGTTAGATTCGTAAGTTCTATATTTCGAAGGAAAGAGACAGTTTAGTATAGCGCAACTTCTAGCGTCTATACCGAGGATATAGACTAGCGCCGCTCGCCTCGCTCTCTTATCGGTACCCTTCTATGTTACGCCTTCTCCTAGCATATATATATAGCCCTCTCGAAATACTAGATCTCGCCTTTTACCGCTTACGATTTTCTTTGCTAGCGCGTAGTCCGTAGTTCTAGTCTCCTAAATTTTACCTTTTTAATATGCTTCTACTACTACTTATACGAACTATTACGCGTAATCCTTTCCTACTTTAGGTACAATATTAAGGCTCGACATTGTATTAGCGCTAGGAATATAGTAGAGAACCCGAAGAGAAAGGAGGATAACTAAGAGAACTACCGGGAACTTAGCTTATATAGATAGGGGATAGGCGGCTAAATAACAAGGTTCTCGGTGCCTCGGAGAAGTAGTATTACGCTAACCGTATTTAGGTAGCTAAACTCTATACCTAAAGAGAAAAAAATGCTAGTACAAATAGAGAAGTTTTGTATATATATATTATAGAGAATAACTACTAATCGTAGCCTAAAAGTCTTCTATATCGAAGTCGAGATCTACGTCTTAAAGTATACTAAGGATCTTAGCTTCTTGTTTATATACGACAACCGGAGCCTTTACCTTAGTAATATCGCCTAGCCTTAGAGTGCGAGGTAGCGTTAGAGCGTATAGTGTCGAGGTCGGAGTAGAGACTTAAGTACGGGATATAGGCTTCGAGAGCAATACGGGTTGTCTAAGTAGTCGCTTCCTAGAGAACGAAGGACCTAGAATAGGCGTAGTGTCCTTAGAAATATATTAGATTATACGCGCCGCAGATGCGGAACGAGGTATCGGTATAGGTACTAGCGTAGGTAGCGTCGACGAGGCCTTAGTTAGATCTGCCTACGTAATCTCCTTCGAAGGTATTATTTTAGCCGTAACTTATATTACCTATTAGGCGTTACTAGGACCTAGGGCTAAGTTCTAGAGGTAGACTAAGGAGTCGTCTAGTTAGTATCTAGGAAGTTCTACGAATAACGGTCGGCGCGAAGTTTTCGCTAGTACTATAGTTAGCGTAGTTTCTCGCCGGCTTAGCTATCGTCCGACTCTAGTATCGACTAACGTCCTATCTTCGTCGTTACCTAGTATAAATGCCCTAGGACCCCTTTCTACCCTACGCGGAAGGCTACTATCGCTACCTACTTCGCGGTCTAGACCCGTAAAGTTTCGAGTATACTAGTTAGGCTCGTCTTCGGGTTCTATAGTGTCTCGAGTAGAACCGGTAGGCGGTTTAGCGATTTCGGGAACGTACGCTCGAGGTATATAGTTAAGTATACCCTACGGGCGTCGCGGTTGCTACGCTAGTCCGGTAGAGCTAGTAGGTATAGCGTATATCGCTCCGCGTAATAGGACGTTAGAGGTTATATCTACGAATAGATTTCTACCCTTAAAAATAAAGTCGTAGAGACGCTTAGGTAGATATAATAAAGCCGAGCGAAACACCTTATTTAGGGAGTCGCCGCCCTATATAAAAGTATACTTTCCGTTAATAAGTACGCGGAGGTTGTATACGTCCGTAATGCGTAAGAATGCTACGAAGAGTTAGCTATAGCTAAATACGGGCCGTCGAAGGTCGATACCGATATATACTAGGGATTAACCCTAAGATTTGTTTATCGTTATTGCGAAACAAGGTCGAAGCGGAAGTTGATATCGCTTAAGGGTAAACGGTAGGCCTTTGTTCGAATGTATCTAGATTCGCGGTATCTAGTACACTTCCTAATTATCGTCGTCTAGCAGTTTCCGAACTTTAACCCCGAACTAGAGTGTTTTTACGACGATAACCCGCGTTCCGTTTACGAGTTCTGCGGTCTTATAGATATTCCGTATAATTATTATTAGTATACCTACCCGGATCCGTAGGCAAGGAATCTAGAGCTCGGTATTCTAGATAGATTTTAAAAGGCTTAAGATTTCCGGAGGCTAGTCTTTATCGCTAGGCAACTTCTCTATCTTATCCTTATAGCGATATTCGCGAATTGTACCGTACGGCAGGTCGTCTACGATACGTTCGTTAATCTCGTAGGCGGTATCGTTCGTTATATAAAGGATAGCTCGAGAACGATAGAATACTAGGTCGTACTTAGCGTTAATAACACCCTATCTTAGAAAGACGAAATCGATAAGCTCGCTAAGGTCCTAGACTCTTCCGACGTATATTAGTAGCTTAATAAATCGATCGAATACGTCGTCGTATACAATACGGAGGGTCTAGCGGTAGAAGTTAACGTTCCGCGGATTGCTATCTACGAGCCGTATATTTTGCTAGAGATAGAGCACCTTAATCTTGTTCTAGATTAGGAAGGCTTTAAATGTAATCGCTATTACGTCTACTTCCTTCGAAGACTTCTTATACTCGGGAAGTACTAGAAGAGTCTATGCCTAGTCGCCGCCGAATACGACGGGGACTCCCGCGAAGAATAGTTCGTTACCCTAGCCGTTACTACCTAATCGTAACTTATAAAAGAGTCGATATATAGCTATAATATCGCGTCTATTCTATATCGCGGCTTCGTCCTAAATAACTAGATAAGTCTTTCGGATTAGCTTAGCGTCTATTATGTCTTACGTAATAGGACAGTCCTACCGCCCGGTATTACTTAAAGGAAGTTTAAATCGGGAGTGCGCTATACGACTACTAGGAAGTAGCTATACGGCGACACCTAAAGACGCGATACACAGCACGATAAGGCTACGTACTCTATAGGTCGCTACGAGTATACGGTATAGGAACGTCTTCCCGTAGCCTCCCGGACCTTAGATAAAAAAGTGCGCTATTAACGGATTCTAGTCGATGTCGTTCGTAATATCGGTAAAGGCTCGCCTTTAACCGTTATTAAGAAGGTAGGCGTTTTATTGTACGTAGAGTTTGTTCCTGTCTTCGTTTCCTATATCGACTAGCGCTTCTTCTTAAGCGATAGCGTTATTGCTGCTACGTATTTTCGCCTACGAAGGATCGGGACTCGGTAGTCTATAGCCCGATACCTTGTATCCGTTAGTAACTAATTCGGTGTATAGCTACTACTTACTATAACTTTTAGTAGTAGCATTTATCTCCTTATACCTTCCTACGTACCCTCCGCGCCGTAGTTCGATATATAGATCTCTATATATATCCTTCTATAGAAGACTCTACTATCGCGTAGCGTCGGCTCCGGATATCGTATCTGTTAGGATAAGTAGTACGAATATAAGACGCAATTGTCGGGAGGTATATATCTTCTCGGCCTTCCGGAATATATCTAGCTATTTATCTTCCGATCTTGCAAGACCGGATACAATCGCCGCCGCTCGAAAGCTCTTATATACGGTGCCGCTATATATCCTTAAGTCGCGGAAACATTTAGTATCCCGAACGATATAGAGCAATTTAATTAAGTATAGTATCTCGCCTTTAGGACGTAGAGGCGGGTTAAGACGCGCGATCGAGTATACTACGCGCTTAGAACGTTTCTTCTACGCTTTGTTATATAGCGTATAGTGTTTTAGAAACTTAAGATACGTTAAGCGCCGGCAAGATACGTCGTTGTCTAGTAGCAACGCGTTATACCGAAACTACGCGACGAGCGTAGTACGTTATCGTCTATCGCCGCGTAGGTCCGCTATCGTCGCGTTATAGTTAAATACGATATTACCCCTAGGGCCCGGTAGGTAGACGTCTAGTCGAATAACCGCGGGCTATTCTTTATAGCGCTTGCCTCCTAAGATATTATATATTGCTATCGTAAGACTAATGTATTATATATTAACGTAGTTAGCGATCTCGTTACCGGGAATCTCGAGGCGGGCAGTCGTACGGTCGGCGCCCTTATAGACGTACTTGTTAATATATTTAATCGCCCGTAATA